GGTTTTACATAGAAAAGACCATTGAGATGTTTACTTTGATTTTTATAATCAATATTTGGTTGATTGAAATTAGAAATTTAAAAAAACTTCGTTCTTCCTTAGCTTAATTTCAGTATATATCTCTTATTCTATTTGTAAATCTAATAAATTTTAACAATAATTATGGGACCTTTTATAATTTTAGTTTTATTTTACGTACTTAGTTAACTAAATACTGTTAAACATTTTAAATAGAATTTATATATTTAATGCATTCTATTAACTTTTATGCACTTCAATTTTCTGTCTAACAAATCTTCTCAAGTACTTTAAATTAATTCTTCTAAGTCTAGTAAATTTAATTTATAATTATGGGGAATCAACTTTTTTTACATATTCCAGTAAAACTTCATATAACTATAGAAAGTAATTTCAATTTAAAATCCAAAAGATGAACTCAATTACTCAATTATACAGCTTATGTTAGAATCAAGGCTAATCAAATAGGCCAAATTCTCTCAAATATTACACATGAGATTTTTGAAATACTAAATATGCCTGAATTTCTTATAATTAATGGGTTCAATTACCTATACATTTCTATGTTTAAATCTAAACACTCTAGAGGTAAAAATATACTTCTCACAAAGGAAATATTGGTGTCATCACAAAGTCTTCAAGGATAGTCTCTTAGAGGTTTGGAATTTACATATTTAAATGAGATACTGACTAGGGATACTGACATCTGCACTTATGAGGTCCTATTTACAGTCACTATAACAGCCCACTAAATGGACTTGTGAACATCTTAACCTACATAGGTTACATGTTTGGGTTTGGATTTTACCTAATTCTTCTCACAAGATTCTGCAATGCCACTCAGGTGGTTATATCACCAAATTTAATTTTCTTTTGTTCTTATGTTATTTAAGATATCTTCCTACATAGGTTTAAATATCTCTGATCTCACTGGAAATCTACAATTTTGTCACGTTTTTCCTATTTCGTAGAAACAAATGTCCTTGGAAAACTTAACTGACAGCAGTGTTCTGTTTGAGCTCTCAAGTTTTCTTCCATCTGAGTTAACAGGGAAATTCCAAGATTTCTTGGTGAAGACTGTTTTAAATCATTTCAGCCTAACAAGTTGAGATTACATACACTCTCTCCAATGCTGGTTAGCCAACATAATAAATATTTTTTCTGATTTAGATATAGTCATTTCTAGCCAGGCACAGGTGGGGATCATAATGGCTATTATCTAGTAAGCATCTGCTTTGTACCATGACATTACAGTTCCAAGAGTCAGAAATCTCAGTTTAAGCAAAAAAAGATATTATTTTGGTGTTTCTGTGACCCAGCCCAGTACCTGGTCCGTGGTGATAATTTTAAGAAATGCTTTTCAAACTGCATGAAAAACTTAGATGAATACGTATTCGTAAAGGACAAAAGTGCTTTCTCCCATTACTGAATTAAAGTTAAATACTTTTGTACCTTATTGTTCTATTCTTTAAAAGTTTTGGAGCTAGGTCATAATTATTCATCACCTAATAGTTGCTATGCAATTTGTTCATTTAAAAGTAATTATTATATAACTCTTACGTGCCAAGTGCTCTGTGAGGCGCAACCCTTCCTCTCTGGGAGCATTTAGTCTAGTGATTCTTTAAGAGCTGATGGCCAGTGGTGGTGTATTACCTCTCCTTGATTTAATATTTCTATTCTGAATCTATTATTTCCTGCACTGAGAGAGGAAGTGGAAAGTCACGTCACACTTTAACTAATCTACTGACCCACAAAGTAGTGCTACCCATTTTTTGTGTATGGATGGGCATATGGCACTGTGAAATATTTCAGGGTGCTCTCCAAACAAGAGCTACTGAGGTTAATGTGAATCATTAGGTATGGACAAGGGGCCCACAGTGCTCTCCTGAACACAAGCTGTTGTATTCTTTTGCGCTCACAATCTCTGCTTTCTGGTATTGTTATTTATATTTCTATTTAGGCCCTGTCTTCCCAATTGGATTAAAGTTCTTCAATAACAGTAATCATCTCTTATACCTCATAATTGCTTCATTACTTAGTGTAATACCATTCATTCATTCAAAAGGATGTTTCTATACGCTAGGCACCGTGGTAACTCTAGAAAATAGACGGGAACAAGATATGGTCCCTAGTGCCATGGAGCTTAAAAACTGGAAGGAGATAAAATAGTAAAATGTGTAACAAAAGGCTAACAAAATTAAATTAGAGATCAGTGTATTAGTACCAAATGTCTATGAATATCAAGAAGACTTCTCAACATAGGTATTTTTAAGCAGAATCTTTAAAGAAAGAGAACAAATTCTGCATATGAAAGTGGAAATTGGATATCCCCCTAGAGGAGTACATTTGCCTTTGGATACTTCCAAACAAAGCATTATTAAACAAGTGTTATCTTCATTTTTCATTTGGAGTTTATAAATCATGATGAATGTGTCAAGGAAGTGAGAGGTGCAGGGTTGGGGAGAATGCTGTATGAAACCAATGTTCTTGAAATCTCAAACAGGCACCCAGGCAAGGGCCAGGTGTGTCAGAGTTTTCATTTTTCATTAGGTGACATGATGCATAGTGCATTGCCAAGCAAATAGCTTTCCTTTTCAACATCAAAGTTGGTTTTCAGTTCATTCATTCATTAATATTTATCAAATAGTTATTCTATGCCAGGAATTATGGGTAAAATATGTGTAAAATAAAGTCCCTGACCTCAAAAAAGATCATAATATCCGGGAAGATACACAAGTGAACACAGTTACCAGATAGTATGATAAATGTTATAATCAAGAGAAACAAAAGAGTGTCCAACTGGGTTTGGCATTCTTCTTCTTCAAGTCCTTATGTGAAGAGTCACCTGCAATCTGTCCTCAATAAAGAAGGAAGGATAGTATGGTCTAGTGCTTGTTAAAGCAAACACATGCTAATTTTTTGGGGGGAAGTTAATCAGCTTCACTAAACCTTAGTTTCCTCAGCTATAAACGGGAAATAATAACAAAAATGACAACAGAAAAATTTGGTCTGGCTTGTATAACCACCTGTTGGAGATTTTAAATGCTTTTGAGGGAAATCCTGTTAATTAAATGAAATAATTCATGTAAAGCACATAGCAGTGTCTACCACGTATGATGTGCTCATAATATTAGTTATTGTTAATTAGTTGTTAATTACTTATAAAGGTATGTCTTCCCCACTAAATCATAAGCTTCACGAGTGGAGGAGGAATCCTTTCTCTAAGATCTGACAGACCTTCATTCATTCTCTGATCATTGTTAGATAGTTCTAATATTGTTCAAAAATCCCTTCTTGTGCTTAAGAAATATAATTTGTCTCATTTATGCTCACATCTGACTTTCAAAACATCTCCATTAATGGAAGGTACTTAATAATGTCATTAGATGATCCTATATTTTACAAACAAGCAGATGTATTCAAGTAGGTTGAATACTTGACTCCCAAGGGTATACAGTTTAGACAGGACCAAAGTTGAAGTCCAAGACTTCTGACCCCAGGCCCAGGACTCCTCCCAACACTACCGGCAAAAGCCCTGAGCAGACACACCCCGTGATCAGTAACCCCAGGCAGTACAGAGGTTGAGAGGAAGGCAGACACTGGATGATGTCTTAGCTTTGTGATTCTAGGGGTTTACTTCACTGAATTCAATTTCAGTTTTCCTATGTGTTAAACAGGAAGAGTGTTGGTACCAGCCATGAAAGGTTCCAGTGATGGTTAAATGAGTTAACGTAGATAAAGTGCCTCATTTATAATAAGTGCTCAATAAATATTATTCTTTTGCCATACCTGGTTAGACTTGACAGTAGGAACATTAGGAGACATTTAATAAATATAGGATATTGTTAGAAAGGGATTAGGAAGCTCCCTCCTTTCCTGTCCTGGGTCACCAAGGGGTTGGTTCACGGTTGACAGATTGATTTTCCCACACCTCTTCACTTTGCTCAGAAATTCTTTATCCAAGTACCCATGAGTCTCTACAGTCTAGCCCCGTCTCTCCTTACTCTCTCCCTGTTCTTTCCCTTTCCCAAAACAAACTATATACTATTCCTTGAACATACCCTAGCTTTCTGCCTTTGTCTACACCTTTGGCTCTCCCACAATTTATTCTCATCTCCACTGGTTCATGGTTCTGTTAAATACAACGTTTCCATGAGGCACTCCTGGCGGAGTCCGTGCACCAAGTCTCACTCGTGGATTGCAAGAACACAGTTGATTTTATAAAGCATGTGGTTATTCTCTCCTTCTAGACATCATTGTTCTTTTTTTTAAGAGTTTATAACAGGGATAAAATGATGTGCAATTGACTCTTCAGGTTAATTCAACATAGACTCATTTCATGCTTACCAAGTGCAGCTGCGATATGCAAGTGGACAAACTCTCTGCCTTCAGCAAGTTCCAATATTGTTTCTTTAAAAATGGTTTTGTTATGTAAAGGAGAGAATAACTCCCTAAAAGTTTACTCATATCCATGATGTTAAGACAAAGAACACGGGTGGCAATTCACATGGACGACAGCCGCTCCTTGACCATCGGAAACAGTGCCAGAACTGACCACCACGTTTTTCTACTCGACTCACTATAGTGCTACAAAGTTTTTATCTCATAGGATTTCCGAGGTGAAAAAAACTCTCGAGAGGTGACCTAGTCTAGTCTACCAACTAGCCTGGAGCCAGGCCCATGTGGCTTTTCCTAGGCAGACAAAAGAGGAGCGTTCTATTGAATTACACGGGAAAGCCTTAGTTTTCTTTCTGCTTATCAGATTTTGGTCAGGGATTGGAGAAAGGAGAGTAGCTGCCTCCTTCCTTTTTCTCCCCTTCCTTCCTCTTTCCTTCCTTCCTTTTTTTCTTTTCATTTTTAAATAAGCAAGAGCTAGACATTTTCAACATAAACTTTTTCTTAAGCGCCTCCCCCAAGGGGCCGGGTTTTCTTCGGGCGACTGCCTTTGCCTCCCTCTCGCCGGGATTGGCTCAGAGTAAGCTAGAAATGCTTTCGTGGGGAGAAACTAGACCCGGGGCTGGAGTGGATCCCAGTCTGCAGTAGCGATCAGCGCGGCGGGAGGGAGGAAGCCTTGGCCCGGCTGCGGGGCCGCAGCGGAGGCGCAGGTCCGGGAGGCCCCGGCGGCCCCGCGCCGACATGTGGAACCCCCTCCACGAGCCCGACTCGACCTTTGTCGCTTGGCGCCGCCCGCGCTGGCTGTGCGCCTGGGCGCTGCTGCTGGCCGCCGGCCTCTTCATCCTCGGCTTCCTCTTCGGTAGGGGCGCGCTCGCTGCACACAGCCGGAGCCCACCCAGCCGTTTCGCGGATCGCGGGACTCGCGGGCCGCCTGCCGGGTGGGCTCTTGTTACTTGTCTCCCCCGGGGGCGGTGACTTGGTGGAGGCATACCAGGATGAGCCCCCGCGTGTTAGCCGGAGGGTCCTGGGGGCAGTGCACAGTTGGGTTCTGAAAAAGCTATTGTAGGACAGGCTCACCTAGGGTAGGGAGTAGAACCGAGCGAGAGACGCTGAAACTGAACTTGAGAGGTTCCACTCGCTGAAGCCCTGAGAGAAATCGGTACGCTTTAGGACGAGGGCCTATGTCTGGGGCCGTTGAACCAGGTGGTCCAAGGAGCTTTGCAGGAAGTGACTCTTAGCTGTTTGGAGGCTTTAATCCTGTGCCTGAGGCTGCTTTATGTATACAGGAGGTAGAAGTCAGGGCGTTGTTGCCTGGGAGCCCTTTTCTCTCCTGGTTCTTTCGTCTTTGGGAGTAAGTAATAGAGGAACGTTTGGGAACTGGCTGATATTGTCAGCGCTCTAAACAGATCTTCCCCAGCAGCTCTTTTGCGTTGTCTCCTGTGTCCTCAATTGCAGACCCAAGCCAACTCTGGAAAACCGGGGAGCAGCACAGGCAAGCTCAGACTCTTTTAAATTCTAATTTTGACTCTACCACTTCTTCATGGCCTTGAACGAGTTACTGAATCTCTCTTAGCCTGTTTCCCAATCTTTACGATGACAGTATCTGCAATTTATTGGAAATAGTAAATGAAATAGCATCTAAAGCTCCTAGCACGGTATTTGGGTATCGACACGTTTCTTTATTCCTTCTTGGTGAGGAGATGCTCTTCATTGGACCTTAAAGCACAGGACTAGCCTAAGATATTGCCACTTGGTTCACCCCTGCTCTGAATTCTGGGTCCCCTTTCTGGGATTTAGAAGAACAGGGCAGAGCCAGCTGGGTTGACTCGAATTCAGTCTCTTGCTGTGTGACCTTGGGATCATTAAAAAACTTTTGAGCCACTCTCTGCTCATAACTGACATGCTATTAGTACCTATCTAAGGTTGTTGTGGGGCTTAAACGAGATAAGTGCTCAATAAGGACACATTTCAAATTGAATTTCAATTTTCTCAACTGTAAAAATGGGGAATAGACTTGGCAAGGCTGGCGCAGGGAGTAAAATCTTCTGTGTCTCTTAAAGGCATTTAAGTGGCCGACACAGAATAGGTTCTTTATTAATGGTGGCTTGTTTTTTTTCCCAGGATTCTCTAATCTCCCCTCCCCAACAGACCTCCGACCTCTTCCTCCTGTTCATTTCTCAGATCTCAATTCTAGCATCTCAGCCTCAGTGGGTCCTTGCCTGATCCCACAGTCTAATCCAAGTCCCTTTGTCTTATGTACAGGTGGAACTGTATTTCCACTTGTTTTCAATCATTTATTTCACTATGCCTGTGTGTATGTGATTAATAACTAGAAGACTCCATGAATGCTAGCTGGGTGTGGATTTGGGCAACCATTTTATGTCTAGATTATATCATTTCTCTAAATAAACCCTCTAAATAAATGATGCCCCATTTCCTTCAGATTAAAAACCAACTACAAGGGCTAATGGTGCCATGTGATCTGGCTACCCATTGCCTCTGGCTTCTATGCGTGCTGGATGTCTTGCAGAGATGTTGGGTGAATTGCAGTTTCACTGTAGCTTTCCAAGGTTGAACTTCCCAAGCCTGCTTCAACTGGAAACAAAATCTCGGCACATTTTGTTTTGGTTTCAGAACCAGAACAAATTAGAAGTCTGCATTTCCTTTAAGTCTTTGGAATAATTTGTGTACTTGAAATATATTCATAATTTATTCATTATAAACATTTACTGAACACTTATTGTGGGTCAGCAGAGGAGCAGACACTGGGCATAGAAGCTTTAAGGGGAAAGAAGGTGGATCTCCTTTTTGCCTTCACCTTCAAGAGATCTTGTTTATCCCCATTAGTTGAAACAGATTTAATTTTAGTGCTGATGTCCTCATAAAACATTTCTTAGAATAACAGCAATTGGCTTTTTAAAAATGTTGTAATTGATTTGTAATTTAATAGTCTGTTTGCATGACTTTTTCCCAGTGGAAGTAGGCATGAGAAATTACACTTCAGAAAATCTCAGTTAATGCTGGAGCTCGTTGATAATTTGTGTTTTATATATGATAGATACAATAATAAGAAAATAAGGTTCTGTCTATGAGCTTATATCTCATTTCTATATTTGTATGTATTTTTCAGGATGGTTTATAAAGTCCCCCAATGAAGCTACTAACATTGTTCCACAACATAATGTGAAAAAAGCATTTTTGGATGAGTTGAAAGCTGAGAACATCAAGAAGTTCTTATAGTAAGCATATACCTGAGAGTTTATATGGACAATTTGTCGGAAAATTTTGTTATTCTGTTTAGATGTTTTGACCTAATATTTTATACATAGGCACTGCCTCTATTTTTTAGAAAAAAAAGTTATTTGTTGAAGATCTATCGCATTTCGTCTGGCGAGAATTATACTTCAGCTGAACTTCACCACTATAGATGTTTTCGAGAAGGGGTCAGCAAATTTTTTCAGCCTGTGTAAGCCAGCGGATCTCTCTCACAACTACTCAGCTTGGCTATAGTAGCACAACAGAAGCCGTAGAAAATACATAAGAGAATAAGTGTGTCAGTGCAGGTAAAACTGGCTTTATGGGCACTGAAATTTGAATGTCATATACTTGATCTGTCACAAAATATTATTCTTTTGTTTTTTTTCCACCTATTTAAATGTAACAACCGTTTTTAATTGGGCTGTACAAAAACAGGACATGAGCTAGACTTGGTCTGTGGAATGTAGTTTGCGAATTCCTGTTTCGGAGGAAGCCAGTATATCTTAGTCAAAAGAAGAGATTTGGACTTTGAAGTCGAGACAGATGAGTTTAAATTCCATCTTTGCCCGCTGATGGTAAAGTAACTCTGAGTGAATGCTTAATCTTCCTGAGCTCTCATTTCCACATCTATACGATGGGGATGATGATATTGTGATGAGGACAAAATTAGAAAGCATATATGACACAGTTTAAAAACAAGCTCCTTATTTCCTGAAATAGCCATCTGTAGTGTAGAGCAAAAGAGGTAAATGAGTAAATTTAAAAAGTATTTGCAAAGCAACTAAAAGCAAAACGCTTGTTGAGAATTATTATATACAGTTGATTAGAATACTTAGCTTTTTCAAAGCATCAAGTCCCTTTTCTGTTTTTTTTTTAACAAATTGGCTTAGTGTATGTGTCCAAAAATACTTGAAGTCCCTGATGGTGATTGAAAGATTCCTTAGTGAATACAAGCTATAATTTTATGTAAAAGACAGTTATAGATAGATACATAAATAGACACACACATAATCACACACATATTCCTATATTAATTGCAATAGAATTAAAACTATGAATAAAAATTTGCTAGGGCACCTCCCCATCTTTGGAAATGCCGTTTCAAGTGAGAGACCCTGAAGTTTAAACTTTGTGGAAATCTCTGCCTCTTGCACTTATTTCACTATAATTAAGTATAATAGATATAATAAAAGTGGAGATCTGGCAAGATAGAATCCTCATTCCTAGACAGAGCTGTTTTCCTTGCTTTCTTCTTCCTTTCCTAACTGTAACTTGGACTATCAACCAAGGAGAACAATGAATGCCTTCCTTTATTTCTCTTTCTGGACCCTTGAGCAAGATTGAAACAGTCAGCTTCTTGCTTACTCTCCATGGTTCTGACCAAGCTCCTCTAACTGTTCAGAACTCAAGGATGTTCACTGTTACGACGTGAAACAGAGATTAAGAGAAGCCTCACTCACCTCTCCAAGGACCACAGAATGTCTAGAAGCCTCCTGGACTCTCCAGATTTCCAATTTGCTATTTGTTCATCAGAGAGCTTTCAATCTAAATATACCCATGGGTCAGGGGTCATTAAATCCTTGGATCTTCCGTATTGTCCCCTTCATCACCCTTTGCTCTGCTACTAAAGATCCTCAATGCTTCTAAGTCACCTGCCTCTCAGTAGTGGACAGGAGGATTAAGGAGGGGCTGCCTTTGCTGTCTTCCTTGGGATGTGGGGTCCACCTATGTTTCCCTTTCTGTTTCGTAAACACCTAGTTGAATTCTCAGATCTGTTCACTATTTTGCAACTTTTTAGAAGGATTTTACTTCTCCACTCTGTTCTGAAAGACAGGATTATTTCAGAAAAGTGTTTTAGACCTCTGGTCTCAGAATTTCACTGATCTGGATTTGAATGCCAGTTCCACTTTTTGCCGGCTGCCTTTAAGTCACCTAACTCCTGCAAGCATTGTTCCACCCTTTGTAAACCAGAGGCAATGTGTTAAAACAGGAATACTAATAACTCCCTTTATTAATTGAGACAATGTGATGATATTTGGAACATATTTTAACTTTTCTTGCCAAGTTTTTAATACAAGTTATTGACTATTTTGGATAATTTGTAAATTTTTCTTTTTCTAATTTGATATTCTTGTAGGATCAACAAATTACTTGTGATACACTTCTTTTTTTTTTTTGAGGAAGATTAGCCCTGAGCTAACTACTGCCAATCCTCCTCTTTTTGCTGAGGGATACTGGCCCTGAGCTAACATCCATGCCGGTCTTCCTCCACGCTATATGTGGGATGCCTACTACAGCATGGCGTGCCAAGTGGTGCCATGTCTGCACCCAGGATCTGAACCCTCGAGCCCCGGGCCCCCGAAGCAGAATGTGGGCACTTAATTGCTGTGCCGCCGGCTGGCCCCTGTGACACACTTCTTAACTGATTAAAACACAACAAATTAAGAACTGCTGTTAATATCAGTTATCTAATAGAGCCTCAAATCTTTGCGAAGTAGTGAGATAGCAATATTCTCCCTGTGTACAGAAGAGAAATTTAAGACATGACCAGGATTACACAACAAGTTAGTGGCAAAACCTGTAACATACCACCTATGTGATTTTAGGCCAGTTAATTTATTTATCCTTGGAAACAGATCTTTTTTCCTACTCATCTTTTTCAGGATCAGCTTTGCTGCAAATGAGTGAGTCCTAGCCCTGATCATGGCACTCTGTTACATCCTAGTTGATAATGACAAAACTGTTAAAAGGAATTTCACTTATAATAACAGAGTGTGATAATGATCTCCTTTTTTTCCTTTCTTTGGTGAGCAGGTTCAAGACTCCCATAGCAACTCTTTTTGTGTGTAGGGACAGAGATATAGCTGTTATTTCAGGAAATATGCGTTATCTACACCCACTTTACTGTGTTACAGTTTGTGATCTGTGTAATATGGAAGAAAATGGCAACATGTTGGCTATTTTTCTGTTTTCTCTGCAGGTATGCATTGATGAAAGGATAGATAGACTGCTTAGCTGCCTCTTAAAATTGTGTTCTTTTTGTTACTGTATTTTGCAAATACACATTAAAAATCTTATATAAGATGTTAAGCCCCTAAAAATTTACTGAATGAGGATTTTAATGCTATCTTTGTAAATACAATTTAAATAATTTTAACATAATTATAAAATTAAATTAATCACAGGAATTTCATTTTTTTAAAAAATTGAGTTATTTTCTTTGGTAGGTAGTTTTCCAAATCAAAAATTAGATACACAATAAAATTAAACATTTAAAATTGGGATCATCATAGTCATGTTGCCTGTTAGTTTTCCTAAAATCAATGTAAGGATGGAAGTGTGTTGATTTTAGAAAAACCTATGTATTTAGAATCAGAAATTCATGAAATTCAAGAAGTTTATGAGCTGGAAATAAATAATTGTCTTCTCATGATACATGCTCCTCTGTCAGGTGAATCATTTTTCTTTAAGGAGTTTAAATTGAAAATAACCAATGAGCTGAATCTTCAGGGAAAAAACAAATTTTCAGGACAAAGAAATTTAAAACAAACAAACAAAAGAACAGTGTCTACATACTAAATGAGAAATTACTCTACTCATGAAAATATTTCTGGTAGCCAAAATTTTGGCCACATAGTTTATTTGTTAAAGATGGTCCTGGTCAGACTATTTCTCATCGATTCGAAGTGTATCACTATGCATGAAGGTTGGAGTACAAGAGATCCAGTCTGAACTTGTATAAATATGTTCAGATTATTCCTTAATGAAGATACTTTATGAATGATTGCTAATCAAAAGGTTTCTCGCTTGGCTATAACTTTCAGTACTTAAAAATGGATGCAATTATTATTCTTGACATGTTGCTGCTTGGTCATTTGAATGAAAATATTTTTCATCTCAAATATATTTTACACAGTGAAATAAACAGATAATTCCATGAAAGTTCCAAGATGCATGGGTCTTAGAAAAGAATATGACACTTTCCTCATCTGCTATATAGGGAGACATGCACAAGATTGCACGTAACAATTCTCCAGAAAAAGATCAGTTTTTCTCTTGACTGAGTACAAATTAGAGCATGAAAACTTCAAAAAACGCTTTGAAAATCTGTTTGATGCAATAAGAGTACCACTTTGCGCTTTTGTGTATCACATCTCAAAGTATTTTTTATAGTGTAAATCTGCCTTAATTGGTTGTTGATTTAGGATAAAGGCTGACTAAACATGAATTTCTAACCACTTTCAATTTTTGTCCACCAGTAATTTTACACGGATACCACATTTAGCAGGAACAGAACAAAACTTTCAGCTTGCGAAGCAAATTCAGTCCCAGTGGAAAGAATTTGGCCTGGATTCTGTTGAGTTAGCCCATTATGACGTCCTGTTGTCCTATCCAAATGAGACTCATCCCAACTACGTATCAATAATTGATGAAGAAGGAAATGAGGTAAAAAAGATAAGAAAATAAACTCCTCTCATCTGTTCTTTTCAAATACCTTCTATGAAAGAAGGCCCTGTACCATCTTCAATTATTGATAAAATGACTATTGAAACTTGTGAATGATGCTTTTAATTTCTCATTATCAGTGTCAACTACTTTCTTATGATGTTCGAATTTAAGGTGATGTTGGAAAGATTCTGAGAAATTAATGTTTGATGACAGTTGCTATTTTCTATTTTTTAGTATTGCACTCATATAAAGTATATTAGTAAACTTCCAAGCAACTAAAATGCTTTTTTTTTTATAGGTAATAGTAACCAGTGTTTACTAAGCATCTTGTAGGTACTTGAAATGGTGCTAAATGCCATCATATTATCTTTTGTTTTTAATTGAAGTAACATTGGTTTATAACATTACATAGGTTTCAGATGTACAGCATTATAACTTAATATCTGTGTATACTACAACCTGCTCACCACCAAAAGTGTAGTTTCCATGCATCGTCATATGTTTGAATCCTCTTACTCATTTTGCCTGCTCCCCCTCCCCCTTCCCTGCTGATAACCACCAATCTGTCGTCTGCTTCTAAAGTTTCTTTTCTGTTTTGCTTATTCATTTGTTTTGTTTGGTTTTGTTTTTTACATTCCACATATGAGTGAAATCATAAGGTGTTTGTCTGTCTCCATCTTAGTTCATTCAGCGTAATACAGTCTAGGTCTATAAAATAGATACATTTTTGATAGGTTAAGATCATAAAAGGTACTGCATAGGTTTGAAATTTCTAGGAAATTCAGAGACACGGTGTGCAGTTTGAGCCAGCAGGTTTTTATTGGTACTTAATGCTTATGCCTTATGTGATCGTGGGTTCAGCTCTGTGCTCAGAACTGGAATATGGGCATTCGGAGGGGAAGAGAGTTTGGAGAGAAAGTTTATGGAATGATATCTAGCCTGAAGAATTTACAATCTTGTTTGCAAGTTAGGGCACTTGAGAAAGAGAAGATAATACAAGTAATTGAGGCATTTCTTATCGTGACATATATTCAGTATAAAAGCTCATAAAATATAACTCAAATATTCATCCCTATTTAGCATATATTACTTTTAGAGCTATTATATCTGACTAAAATAGCCCCTTTCAATCTAGATAGCTTCTTCAGTCCTCTTGTTAGTTGGGCCTCTGAATTGTGTACAAGTTCAAATATGTCCTGCTTGATCAGTGAACTAAAAATGTCAGGTGACTTAAATATATATAAATTTAAAAAAATTTTCAGAGTATGTCACTGACCTCCTTATTGACTAATGAATCGGTCTCTTCTTAGTAGTTAATATGTTTTACAGTCAGTGATGTAATAAATATTTTTTAAAAAGGTATGAGAAATGTCAGTATACAGCATATGGTCCCATAACATTGATTAAATAAGTGGTAGCATACCTATATCATTAAGTACTAAGGAGTCTTTAAAAGGATGTTTAGAAGAATTGTTTAATGACATAATAAAATATTGATTATGTTAAAAATATACATATACTTAAATCTCTGTTTTGATGTGTCAGATTTGGGGCATGTCTATGTACAATGAGGAAAATAAGCTTTCACTTCTTTTTTCCTTCTTCACCTCCCAATTTTGACTGTACCTTTACTTTTATTATTCCTTTTCGTTATTTGTTTTTGCTATTATAAGCATTTATTAAATTCTTAAAGTCTGTCACATAATATAAATATATCATGATGTAAATATATCATGCTTCATTTGGGAGATTTCCCTGAATGATTTTAGCTGCCTCCTTTGGGTTCCTAGACCACTTTCCAATGTGTGTGTTTTCCCCACACATCTAACAAGCAGTTCTTGGACACCAGCTGGGTGTCCTACAATTCGACTCAGTTCTGACACTGTTTACCCAGAGATAGTGCCAGATTCCACAGGTTGAGTGCTCAGTTCCACAAGACTACACCGCCCCCTTCAGATGCCAGTTCCAAGCCCGGGTTTATTACCTGTACTCTGACCAACTGGCTATAAATCAGAGGTTCCCACGGCCCCTTCCTGGGGTTTGATTAATTTGCTAGAGTTGCTCACAGAACTCAGAAATATTTTACTTACTAGATTGTCAGTTTATTACAGAGATACTAAAGGATACGAATCAACAGCCAAATGAAGCGATACACAGGGAAGGTATGTGGGAAGGGGCAAGAAGCTTCCAGGTGTACCACTCTCCCTGTGTCTCCATGTGTTCACCCACCTGGAAGTTCTCTGAACCCTGTTCTTTTAGGTTTTTATGGAGGCTTCATTACGTAGGCACGATTGATTAAATTATTGGCCGTTGGCACTTGATTCAACCTCCAGCCCCTCTCCCCTCCCCAGGGTGGGACTGAAAGTTCCAACCCTCTAATCACACAGTTGGTTCTCTTGGCAACCAGCCCCATCCTTAGGTCCAAAAGTCACCTTATTAACATAACAAGAAGCACCTTTATTCTCCTCACTTAGGAAATTCCAAGTCTTTTAGGACCTCAGTGCCAGAAGTGGGGACAAAGACCAAATATGTAAAGAAATCATAATATCGTAATATTAATAATAAATCATAATAGCACACCGCCTAAAGCTTTTTAATGTTTTCGAAGTTATATCATTAGTTCATTTTCATATTTATTTTTATCCAAGTTATACCTGCACACGAAGACTCACCTAGTTCTCCAAAATGCCTTGATTCCTCCCTATCCTTGAGGCAAGCACTATTGAACCAGGAGTTGATTCTTTTGATATTTACCTCCTTCTTTAAATAATGTGCTTATATTGCTTGTGTTTCAGATTCAGACATTATCTTTTGACATGGTGACAATTCAGCTCCATTTTCATTCCTCCATGACAACTTACAGATGCTTTCTTACTGTCTCCCCAACTCTCAATGTAGTATAATTATTGTGACTAAGTATTCACTAACTATTCACAGCTGAGCTATGTGACTGAGTGTAAACTTTTAGTCTCCTGCGCAATACAGACAAGTTCCTTCTCCCACAGGCAACAAGTATGGTTAGTGTTTTGTAGAGTCTACCAGAAATATTTTAAATATATAAAGACACAATATTTTATCTTTGTTTATGTAAAGATAACATACCATATGGATTGAACTATACATTGCCTTTTTATGTCACAAAAACTTGTCAGTGCAAGTAATCAATAATCAATCTATAAGCCAAAATTGGAGCGAGTTTCTTATATGAACCAATTTGAGGACCGTGGCCTGGGAGAGCAACCTCCACTAGGGAAGGAAGCACTCCGGAGATGTGAGGTGTACCGCGTTGTTATATTCTGTTTGGAATGAGAAACATACATCACATATGACAAGGGTATCTTTTTTTACTACAATCACAAGATGTTTTGCTAGCACAGCAGGTCAGTGGTCACGAGATGTACACAGGAGGTCAATTTGACGCTTAGTTTCTGGGAAGAAATGCTTATCTTTAAAGAAATGCTGGTATGGGAGGAGGCGTACATTCCCATCTTTAAAGGCAGCGTTCTTTGCTGTGGGACACTTTGTAAATGTTTAATGCATGCCTGACAGGCCATGTCAGGCCATCCTGGAGAAGCAAGGTCATGGCTTCCTCAAATACCTCAATATATTTAACCTTTCTTATCGCTTTTCATTTATTCATCAAAGTAAATAGAAATTTGCAAACCGAAATTTTCTTAGTTATACTCAGAATACATAATTTGAGGCTGTATTAGTGAAGCTTGGAAAGTGAGCAACGTTTAGTGATATATAGTCTACCTTTGATAAAGTCACCCCAAAAAGTCATTTCTTTGACCTTAAAAAACTTTTCTGAGTGTTAGAATAACTCATAAACTTGCTGTAAAATCCACTTGCTCAGTGGTGCTGTAACATTGAAGATTACCATAAAGGCAAATCAAGTGAGACCAGCTTCAGTACTCCCTTGGCTGGAAGACTTGCTGATGTACTGACTTTGTTTCTAGAAGGATTTTTATTGCACTTTAGTATAGTTTCTCTTATAATCTTCCCCAGTGATTCAGATGCGTTTGTATCCTGCGTGCATCACAGAAAAATTATGGGGAATATGGAAGATATGGGGATTTTTGGAGGCTAGGAGATTTGGTTTCATTTTATCAGCCTCAGGACAGGTAGAATATTGGGGCTCTAGTGAGTACAGTTTAGTGTCAGCCCAGATTCACTCCCCATCTCCCATCACCTTTGTTCTACTGCACCGGCCAGGACCTGTAGCATAAGGTTGCAAAGAAGTGGTAATAGCAAGTATCCTTAACTCAGAGGGAATTTTTTTTTTGAGGAAGACTAGCCCTGAGCTAACATCTGCCAATCCTCCTCTTTTTGCTGAGGAAGACTGGCTCTGAGCTAACATCTGTGCCCATCTTCCTCTGCTTTATATTTGGGATGCCTGCCACAGCATGGCTTTTGCCAAGCGGTGCCATGTCCCTACCTGGGATCCGAACTGGCGAACCCCGCGGCGCCAAAGCAGAACGTGCGCACTTAACCTCTGCACCACTGGGCTGGCCCCAAGATATTATCTGTGATTCGGTGTTTTTAGGTCTTTTCAGTGTGAATGTTATTGAGTGTATCTAGCTACTGTCAGATACAGATTCCCCCCAAAATGTGATTTTTTACTGAAGTGAATTTCATATTTAATTTGTTTCTAAGTAAATGATCTTAACATTGTTATAAGTGACTAAGATTACTGTACAAGGTTACTTCTTATTTGAGGATTAAAATTTTCCTCCTAAATCAAAAGCTGGTGCTTATACTTCTCACGGCCTATAGTTTATTCATCTCACGAAGTCCTCACAGCTTGTGGCACAGTGCTGGGTATGCGATATGTCTTCTCAGAGTACTGAGGGATTGATTAACCCTCGACTGACAAAAGAGATAATACTCATTTTCCCTTGTTTGGTTGTAGTAATCAAACTTTACCTGGGTTTACTTTTGATTATTGTACTTTGTGTCTCTAGATTTCCAACACCTCCCTGTTTGAACCGCCTCCTCCAGGATATGAAAATATTTCAGATGTTGTGCCACCTTTCAGTGCTTTCTCGCCACAAGGAATGCCTGAGGTAAAAATGCAGTAAGAGAAAGGAAGTCTTATTCTTTTTTGTTCACAGTGTTTTTTAAGATAAAATTTACTACAGTGAGATGCACAAATCCAAAATATACATTTAACGGCGTTTGACAAATGAATATACCCATGGAATCCAGCCCCCTTCAATGTAGAAAATATTACCATTACTTCAGAAAGTTCCCGTGTGTCCTTTCTCAGTCAACTCCACACGCCCCCGAGGCAATCATTCTTCTGATTTTTTTGCCGCCATGGTTCAGTTTTTTCCTATTCTAGAGATTCATATAAATGGAATTAATAGCACGTAATCATTTGTGTCTGACTTCTTTTACTCAGCATAGACTCTGTGAGATTCACAGGTAGCATTTATCAGTTGCTTATTCCTTTTTATTGCCAGATAATTTCTATTGTCTGAAAATACTAAATATTTTACTACCGTTGTATACCACTGATGAATTTCCAAAGAGTTTGAATAACAGTATTCATTGCCCTTTTCGTATGAAGAGCTTGAGTGTCATTCTAAAAAACTTTCTGCAGTTTACTCAGTAAAGCAGTGTGCACAATTATCATCAGAAATTTTATGACTGATCCCCAGCTTCCTGCACAGTACTTTGCCTTTTATAAGAAAGCTAAGTTTGAAAGAGCTGGATATAATTTATTAGTATCTTTTTAAAAATTCTCTCTTCTAGTGTGATGGTGAACATTAAGTACACTCAGTTTTGGGCTTGTTCAGTTTGAAGTGCCTGGGATATATTCACAAGAAGTTGCTAGTTGACAGTTGGGTATAGCGCTCAACAGAGAGTTCAGGGTTTGGGCTATCATTGGAAACATCCTAAGTAAAATATTTGCATGTAGTATTGAATTGATATTTAAAAATCCATCTTCACTAGTCAGTTAGGATTTATTATAAGATCATAAGGATGATTTAATATTAGGCAATGCCATATTTTTAATAAGTAAGGTAAAAATCATACTATTTCAGCGATTTTCAAATTTATTTGATTCATTAACTTATTTATAAATTAAAAACTCTCACAAACTTAGAATAGAAGAATATTTTTCATTGGTTGTATTAAATTTACTCCAAATGAACACTTTGACATCTTAATGATATAATATTGGATATATAATATTGGAAATGATATAATGTTGGAAAAATCTCCCTAAAAATTGGCACATAAAAAGAATGCTTGCAATCATTGTAATTATTTCATAATTGTCATGGAATAGGAATAAGGGATATAAGAACTGAAAATGAAGAGATGTTTTATTTTACCTCTCAGGTGTACTGAGGTCACTTAAACTTCTTCCTCAGGTTCAGGCACACTGCCATATGGGTCCCTGTGAGGTCCCTCATTTATTTTCTTTTCCCTTCATCTCTTATCCCTATTCTTCAATCTCATTCCTTTTTTCTATCCCTCTCCCATCCCACACCCACCCTAATGTATTTACGTCCTCAGCAATGTATGTATTGAAAATACATGGCTTTGTTTAGTGTTTGATATATTTTAAATTCACATAAATAGTATACTTTAGGTCTTACTTGATTTCTTATTATTTTCAATTCATGGTCTTTTAAAAATCTATCCATGTTGCTTTATGTCAGGATAGTTCATTACTTTTCATTCTTGCATATTATTCTGTCTTATGTGCACACACATGTAGCTCTTAGTGGCAAACATATGGTTTGTCTCTAACACTCTACAGTGTTGGAGTGCATATGTCCATACATGCCCCCATAGGGGCTTGCGAGGGGTTTTTTGTGTACAATAAACCGTGTACGGGATTGCTGCATTGTAGGGCATACTTAATTTTGCAAGGTCCAGCGTGTAGCACTTTATACTCCCACCAACGACACATGAATGTTCCTTTCTCATATTTTCATCAACACTTGAAATGACATCACTTTATAAGTTTTGCCCACTTAATTGTTTCATTGTTGTTCTGATTCACCCTTCTCTGATGACATATGAGGTTGCTCATCTCTAAATATATTTATTAGCTACTCTGATTTTTCACTCTGTGAAATCGTTAACTGTAGGCTTTTTCTTTTCCTGTTGAATTTCCATCCTTTTCTTAAGTTGTAAGGGTTTCTTAAATATTTTGGTTATTCATTCAACATCAGTTTTAGATATTACAAATAGCTTCTCCTAATTTTTCACCTATTTTTTCATACTATCTGTGTTGCCCTTTATTTAAAAAAATCTTAAATTTTGATACTGTCCAATTGTTGTTGTTATGTTTTTTCACTTTGGGTCTTCAAATTAACTTCCTCCTTCTTCATTATTTATAGTGATATGTCTGTATAACCAGAATATACAAAAAAGTTAATTAGTAAATTTTATTTTTAAAAATAGCATTAATATTACCAGATTAGAATTAAGTATATTTGGACGAATAGTATATAAAAGCAGAAAATATAACAAAGAAATTTAATTTAAAATATCCATAAAATATAAAATACACTTTAAAAATCTTAAAAGTTAAATGAGTGTGAACTAGTTGAAGAACCCTATGAAATTTATTGAACAGGGAAGATGTTGTGTATAAAGAAGCAGATTATGTTTCTGGATGGGAAGACAGAATGTTATAAGGAGAAAATTATACCCAGATTAATTTGTGAGTTTATTGTATAATCAGTTAAAGTCCCCCAAATAATTTTTGGACTTTGACAAAATTATTCTACTCATAAGAGAATCATAGAGATTATTAACTCATTTCTTTCAAGTAGACTTCAACTCTTGCAGATTAATGGGAAGATGGAAGGAGCATGTGATTCTGCATGGGGTCACTGTTTGTGTTCAAATATTGGATGAGTTTGCTGGCTAGTGTGCTTCACTGGATCACCTGTAACCCAACCAGTGAAGTGTTAATTCTTTTTAAAATTATGAATGTCTGTATGTGTGTTTAGGATATTTCACGATAAGTAATCTTTGGATCTACGTCTGAATCCTCTTGAGCGTAAAATACTGGGCTCTGCTTTAGGCTATTTGAAATTAGCAGTTTGGCAGTGTCCTTAAAATATAGTCTAACTTAGTGGTTCTCAGAGTTCAGCATGCATCACAGTAATCTAGAGGGTTGTAAAACACAGATTCTGGTTCCCGCCCCCTGAGTTTCAGTAGGTCGTGGGTGAAGCCTGAGAATTTGTTTCCAATAAGGTCTTAGGTGATGTTGGTTCTGAGGGCTGAAGAACCGTGCTTTGAGAACCACTGGTATAACACCTCCCAATTCTGTCTCTATTAACAAGAGCAAGAAGATGGAAGCTTGAAAGAAACATAAAATTCTAGGCTAACAGTGCAAGATTGTATTTATTCCCAGTCATAGAACAATGGTACAGTGTAGATTTTACAAGAAGGTCATTGTCTGAAAACAAAGCTTTTCTCTAACTAACAGTGACAACTTGCATTTGTGAAGTGCCAAGAGGGCCTATCTATCACACTTGTTTTCATTTTCAAAGTTTGCTGTCATTTTTTAAACTGATGTCTTCTCCAATCCCTTCTCCATCATAGTTGTTTTGTGTTGATTGTAGATTTATCAAAAGATAGCCACAGTTTACAGACATTTAAAGAAGTAGTCTCCCCAAAGTTGGTGATATTCAATAGGGATAAATTTCAAGTGGGACACTTACACTAAAACAAAATTCACCGAAATCCAATTGATTAATGACTCTCTATTCACAGTTAGAATAAGAGTGAGCTCCAGAGAAGGCTAATAATTGTAAATCAGACATATGGTGCTATCACTAATGTTGCATTAATATTGCGTTGGTTTTAGGAAGAAATACAAGAGCTAAGAGGAATCCTTTTAATGAAGCAAAGATTCAAAGGTCACTTTCTCAATAGACTTTCCTCTTTTTATTTAAAATTGCACCCACCTGAGTACTAGTTCACTGTTTGCCTGCTCTATTTAAACTTTTTTTGAATTTTTGTACAGCACAAGTTAATATGCTATACAGTTTACTCAGTTATTAGTTTATTGTTTATTATCTTATCTCTTGGCTCTCCATGTGAATGTAACTTCCTTCAAGGACAGTGACTTGCTGTGTGCCTAATGCCTGGAACACTGCTGAGCACATAATGATACATCTTCAACAAGTTTGTCAAGTGAATCTTAGAGTCAACTTGGAAACAACTTGATTTTAGCATCTGTTGTAAATTCGTTGTGCACATGCTATGAGAAATGTAGTCAAAGAGGAAAACAATGGCAAAATAAAATTGTAGGATATTAGAAATCGTGTAGGACAGGGGTTTCAAACTAGGGTGTGGACAGACTTTTCAAAGGCAAACATGGGATTGTTAAAGAAATCAGTTGCATCATAATTTCTCAGTGTATTTTTTCATGGAATTGAGAACTAGCCTGTGGTGAGGTCTTGCTGGTACTCCGTCCCCACCTCCTATTTATGGTCATTTTTCTCATATTTTATGAATCAAAGGCACCTCCTACCTATCCTAAAACAATATGAAACATATCTCAGAGTTGTAGAAAATCTCTAGAGCTCCAAACAAAGAGATGATACTGAAAGATTCTAATAGCTGGGTCACAAATGATTTGGCGAGTCAAATGGTTTGCAATTGAACAAAATTAAAGATGAGGCTAATTGAGTTTCCAACTGATATCATTAGAATTAACTTGGATAATAAGTCAGTGTGTGATTTTGGGGGTTGTAACTTGGAAGAAGTTTAAATAATTTGGTGAAAATTCCATAATAAAACTTCTTTCGTTCCCTTCCCATGGTTTCTCAGAACTTATGTCCACGAATAAGACGTGAATAGAACTGATGCTGAATCCTGGCTCATTCTAGCAATAACTTATTCATCCACAGATTCATGACCTAATGTTTTAACATCCCATGACACTCAAAGATGTATTTCAAGTAAAATTTTATGCTTAGGTATTATTTATAAAAATTTGTAATGATGTTGTTAGACTCAATTTGATACTACAAATAATTATAATAATAACTTACTCCTGAAGAATTTTTGTAACACATACAGCCTGTTACAGGAAATAAATATTTTTAAAAATTCAATTTATATAGAGTGTATTCTTAATTAAGGGAAGTTTGGCAGTGATTAATAAAAGACTTTCAAGCATACCCGGATTCTAGGTAACAGAAACTGAAATGGGATTTGGTGTGCTAGATGTTAACTAAGGAGTGTTCTCCTGGGATCAATATCTGTGGCAGGGAGGGGAAGGAAGCTGGATAACGCGGAGAGAGAAGTCACCCTCACTGCCAGCTTAAGGACAGCCTCAGCCAACCCAGTGGGCAGCTCTGGAGTGAGGATAGTCCTTCAGAATTGTCCTGGTGTGAACTAAGATGTTCAGATCTTTCTACTCCCACATCGATCAGTCGCTTAGTGTGTGGCATCCTAAGAGGCATGACCTTGAGCAAGGTGGCTGTCTGTAGCTGACCTTGAGCAAGGGGACTGAAAGCTGTCTGCAGAAAGCCTTCCCTGCAGCTGGAGCAAGAACACCTTCGTTGAAGGGGAATCTAAGGGGACTCTGGGCAGCATATCCCAGTGTCCAGTATGAATATATTTTACTTTAGAGTAAAATGCTTTGGGGGAAGGGATATAAAATACAAGTTCAAGGAGGAAAAAGAATGATAAAATTCTGACTGAAGAAAAGAGAGTGTTCCTATACTTTTTAAATGGATGGTATTGAAATGTATACCAGTGTAGTATTTAAATTCCTTTGGGTACATATAAAAAGTGAGATGAGGGCCAGCCCCAGTGGCCTAGTGATTAAGTTAGCTCTCTCTGCTTCGGCAGCCTGGGTTGGGTTCCTGGGCACAGACCTGCACCACTCATCTGTCACTGGTCATGCTGTGGTGGCAGCTCACATACAAAAAGAGGAAGATTGGCTGCAGATGTTAGCTCAGGGTGAATTTTCCTCAGCAAAAAAAAAAAAAGTGAGGTCAAATTGCTTCTAAAATTGTTGCTGTTTAAATTGCATTCTTTGCTGCTACTTAAGGTATGATAAACAATTTTAGATGTCAGGTTAAAAATATATGAGGGGGTATGTTGCTTTTCAAAATTAATTTAGGGAGAAGGTGAGCAAAAAATATGTTTGAAGAACACTGATCTAACCTAACAGGCCATTTTACAAATGAGAATATTGAGACTCAGAGGTGTTGTAAGACTTGCACATAATCATACAAATTATATGAAACCAGACCCATAAAGCAGTGATATTATGTGACCTTCCTGACGTGGTGCTTGTCAAGGCTCAATAAGCTACTGTTTGTGAATGTCCTTTGAAGAGAATAAGGCTCCTATCTGGGGCTTCTTAACCTAGGGTGCCTGAACCCCTTCCAATTGTATGCAGCAATGTGTATACTTACATGCACTTTCTGGGGAACGCTTCTGTAGTCTTACAGCCATTCTAGAGGAGACAAATGTGAACAAAACTTACTATGTATGTAATTCATGTCTCAAACCCAGCTAATTGCCTTCACAATTCACGTTCGTTTCTTCCTTGAATCTCTTATCTGAAGCTCATGCACTTCTGACCATCTTGCTTACTCTGCCTCTTCCCTCTTTCAAAGATGTGGAACAGTCCAGAGAAATCTCTGTGTTAAATCTTGCTTGAACTAAATCATTCCTGATCTCAACAGGGTGATCTAGTGTATGTTAACTATGCCCGAACTGAAGACTTCTTTAAACTGGAGCGGGACATGAAAATCAATTGCTCTGGAAAGATTGTGATTGCCAGATACGGGAAAATTTTCCGTGGAAATAAGGTAAAACTCATCTCTTTTTCCTTGTCCCCGAATAGCAAAAGTTGTAGTGTATCTTCCATGTGTAGAGCCAGATCCTTAAAGCTTTCTGAGGACGTGATTCTCTCATATTCTGTAACGTGCCTACCTTCTGGGGAGAGCACATTGACTAGCGTATAGACGGGGGTTCCAAATTGGATCGCTGGAATTCAGCCAGTGTAGAAGTTCAGGGAGAACAGAGATTTTTTTCTATACCTGCAAATTATGCTGTGGTCTACAAAAAAGCATGCCTTGGATTTGTTGTTAACCTTCAGTGTCTTTGTTTTGAATATTATCTTTGAAAATAATTCCTAAATTAAATTTTAATGTGAATTATTATAGATAAGAGAAACCAATTTATAGACAGCAATTTTTAAAGTTACTATCACTTGATTGTTAATTTTTTTTTCTTCTTTGGTGGGAAATTAAATTTCAAATATATTTCCTTTCAGCCAAAGAAGAAATGGGAATCTGGCCTGTAAAATCTACTTCCTTATTGTGCTTCTAGATAAGCAAGTTCTCGCTGATGCTAATGTGAACATTTTCCAAATCTGCTGCTCTGAGGGCTGACCCAGCCCTGGAAATTCCTTTTTAGAGCTTGTAGTAGGAAAGAGAAAAAGCCAGTTCTGTGTGAGATGTCCTTTGTTGTAGGTCTAATGATAAAAGATTAAAGATAAAAACTTTGGTTACTTATTTAAATGTAATTTTGAAAATTGATATTATAAAATTTTTAACAACCACCTTGAAAGAAGAAAAACATTGTGTTTTCTAGGTTAAGAATGCCCAGCTGGCAGGAGCCAAAGGAGTCATTCTGTACTCAGACCCTGCTGATTACTTTGCACCTGGAGTCAAGTCCTATCCAGACGGTTGGAATCTTCCTGGCGGCGGTGTCCAGCGTGGAAATATCTTAAATCTTAATGGTGCAGGGGATCCTCTCACACCTGGTTACCCAGCAAATGGTGAGTGGCCTTAATCATCGGAGGAAACTTAACAACATCTATAAGTGATTTTATTAAAGGATTTCCTTTGACATAACAAGCTATGTCTTTTTCTTATTCTCTTTGCATCTAAGAAGTAAATTAAAAAGTTTCAAACTTTGAAAATTGTTGGTTCAGGTCTCTTATCCCTTATTTGGAATCCTTGGGCCTGATGGGTTTTGGAATTCAGACATTTTCAGATATTTAAGAGTAATATGGTGCATTTACCCTATATTGCATAACACTCACATAGGAGGCTGGGACAATACATAATACAGGAAGCAAGCATATAAATATTTTTGCAGCAAAATGTATGAATAGAGGCTGACCCTGTGGCGTAGTGGTTAAGTTTGGTGCACTCTGCTTTGGAGGCCTGGGTTCGTGGGTTCAGATCCCAGGCACAGACATACACTACTTGTTAGCCATGCTGTGGGGGCGACCCACATATAAAGTGGAGTATTGGCACAGATGTTAGCTCAGTGCTAATCTTCCTCAAGCAAAAAAAGAGGATTGGCAACAGATGTTAGCTCAGGGCTAATCTTCCTCAGCAAAAGTAAAAACAAACAAAATGTATGAATAATTATACTAAGCAGAGGTAAATAAGTATAAATAGCCTTGTGTCTGTTCAAGTCAGATTTTGCTCTCAGATGAGTTTATATCAGATCAGGTTTTGTTGCCAAGTAAATTCTCCCCAATTTATGGTTTTCACAGTTTTTGGGTTTCTCGGTTGTCAATAAGGGATAGTAGGACAGAAGTTCTGTAAAAGCCCCTGAAATGACACATTTCGAAAATAGAGTCTAGAAAATGCTTAGTGCATCATTGCTATATAAAGACAATAGTGATAACTTTCAAGGAGTTTTTCCTAAATGCTAGCTTTTTACATGTATTAACAACTCTATAAGCTTCATAGAATTATTATCTCTATTTAACAGAGGAAGAAAGCAGGACTAGAAGTCAGCAATCTCCTTAAGATCATCACACCACTAAATGAAGAGTTGGGATCCAAATTCAGGCAGTCTGGTTCCAGCGTCCTCATGCTTGTCTTATGCTGAAATGCCCCCCGTAAAACAGTAGATCATTAACGAAGGGAGCTAATTTATTTTGAATGTAGTTGGCTATTTGGTGACATTTACAAAAATCTATGATCATTTAGTTTGTGTGGTTTAAAACTAACTAAGGTATATAACTTGGCTAGAAGAGGTTGCCAAAGTATCTGTGGCATTTCCAGATTTATTCTTCATTTGGTTTTTCTATCAAATTGTAGACTGCTCTAAAGCTTATGTATTTTGGCTTTGTAAGTCTTCTTGGAACATAGTACGTTGTCGTAGATTGTTACTTTTTTTGGAGGAAGATCAGCCCTGAGCTAACATCTGCTGCCAGTCCTCCTCTTTTTGCTGTGGAATATCATCCCTGAGCTATACCCATTGTCCTCTGTTTTGTATGTGGGAGGCCTGCCACAGCTTGATAAGTGGTGCGTAGGTCTGCGCCTGGGATGCGAACCTGCGAACCCTGGACTGCTGAAGTGGAGCGTGCGGACCTAACTGCCGCGCCACCTGGCCGGCCCCTGTCATAGATTATTCTTTTTTTTTTTTTTAAGATTTCATTTTTTCCTTTTTCTCCCCAAAGCCCCCCGGTACATAGTTGTATATTCTTCGTTGTGGGTCCTTCTAGTTGTGGCATGTGGGATGCTGCCTCAGCATGGTTTGATGAGCAGTGCCATGTCCACACCCAGGATTTGAACCAATAAAACACTGGGCCGCCTGCAGTGGAGCTGCGAACTTAACCACTCGGCCACAGAGCCAGCCCCCGTAGATTATTCTTTTAAGCAATATATATTATCCTATAATAAAATCTCATAAATCTACCTGAACTTTACTTACTGTACCTTTTTATTTCCAAGTTTTAAAAAAAAATGCAACTTTTCCCAAGCTCTGTTAGTTATAAAAAGTTAAAAATATGTACATAAATTGAGATTAACTGGAATATTTCTGTTGATTATCCTCAGATTGAGTGATGGCATTTTAGCGGAGAAAGTCATGTTATCCCAATGGGGCTCACATTTATTGAATTTCATTTTGTAGCCTATTCTTTTTCTCTTCCTTTTAATTTTCCTTTGTATTAGTTCTAACATACAAAAATAGAGATAATTATCTGCATTCTGTCACTCTCGTTTCATCTCTTCATCCTCCCTTTTTTGGTTATTACTCTAGAGAATTTTAAAACAAATCCTACACAACATATCATTATGTCATTTTACCCATAAGAAGAATAAACTTTATGGGCTGGCCCAGTGGCACAGCGGTTAAGTATGCATGTTCCACTTCGGCGGCCCGGGGTTCACCGGGTGCGGACATGGCACCGCTTGGCAAGCCATGCTGTGGTAGGCGTCCCACATACAAAGTAGAGGAAGATGGGCGTGGATGTTAGCTCAGGGCCAGTCTTCATCAGCAAAAAGAGGAGGATTGGCAGCAGTTAGCTCAGGGCTAATCTTCCTCAAAAGAAAAGAAGAACAAACTTTTGCAGTCACCTAAAGTTCTTATTAGATAATTTAAAAATTTGGAGAAAAAATGGAAAAATGCTCCTATTTTTCTTAAATCTGAAGAAATTGCAGAATATGTGTTTTTATTTTGAGGTAGAGTTTACATGTATCTCATGTACATGTAAAATGCACAGATCTTAAGAGTTCAGTTCAGTCATTTTTTTTTTTCTATAGATTGGCACCTGAGCTAACATCTGTTGCCAATCTTCTTTTGTTTTTCTTTCTTCTTCTATTCCCCATAGTACCCCGGTACGTAGTGGTATATTCTAGTCGTAGGTCCCTTTGATTGTGCTGTGTGGGATGCTGCCTCAACATGGCTTGATGGCGGTGCCATGTCTGTGCCTAGGATCCAAACCGGTGAAACCCTGGGCCACCGAAGTAGAGCACGCGAACTTAACCACTCAGCCACGGGGCCGGCCCCAAGATATTTTCTAAATTGTATACTTCTTTGTCACTCAAAATAAGATATAGGGCATTTCCGTGACTCCAGAATGCTCTCTTGTGCCCTTTTCTGGTCAATTTTCACTGCAGCCCCCAGAAGCAACCATTTTCTGATATCTGTCACCATTGACTAGTTTGCCTGTTTTCAAATTTCCTATAAAGAGAATCAGACGTATATATTATTTTGTGCCTTGTTGCTTTCACTTGGTACAATGATTTGAGATTTATCCATGTTATTGTGTGTATTGGTAGTTTGTTCTTTTATCTTTAAAAAAAATTTTTTTTGAGGAAAATTAGCCCTGAGCTAACATCTGCTTTCAATCCTCCTCTTTTTGCTGAGGAAGACTGGCCCTGAGCTAACATATGTGCCCATCTTCCTCTATTTTATATGTGGGACGCCTGCTACGGCAGCATGGCTTGACGAGTGGTACACTGGTCCGCACCCGGGATCCGAACTAGCAAACCCCTGGTCGCTGAAGCAGAACGTGCAAACTTAACCGCTGCGCCACCGGGCCCACCCGAGTAGTTTCTTCTTTTTAATTGCTGAATATAATTCTACTGTGGGACTATGCCACAGATTGTTTGTTCTCCTGTTGACACACACCTGGACCATGGCCGGTGTTTGGCTACCCGAATTCAGCTGCTGTGAGCAATTTTGTAGGGTCTTTTTGTGGACATATGTTACCGTCTTTCTTGGGTCGATACCTGGGAGTGAGATTGCTGTGCTCTAGTGCATAATTCTGTCTAACGTTACTTTTCAAAAAGGTCATCCAGTGACTGTATAATTTTACACTCTCATAAGGAATGTATGTGAGTTTTAGTTGCTGCACATTCTTGCCAACATTTCAAATTGTCTGTGTTTTTTATTTTAATAGTTCTGGTAGATGCAATATTAAGAATGTGTTTAATGTGATTTTCAGAGAACCTTTGAAAGGGACTGAATTTTTATTACTACATTCAACTTTTTTCAGAATATGCTTATAGACGTGGAATCGCAGAGGCTGTTGGTCTTCCAAGTATTCCTGTTCATCCAATTGGATACGATGACGCACAGAAGCTCCTGGAGTAAGTTTGTAAGAAACAAACAGATGGCTCCTTGGGTAATTCTCCTTATTGGCAATCTTCACCTTTTACGCTTTTGTCTCTATTATTTGATACTGAAATTCTCTGAGATGGGTGGAGGATATAATTTTATCGCCATTTTATAGAACAGCGATTCTATCCCGGAATTTACTTTATGTATTAGTATCCAGTGTGTAACAGCCATGAAAATGAGCCTTTCAGATCTCCAACTGCAGGGAGCGTAATTGATCAATTGCTCCAGCCACTGGGCTTTAAAATCCATCACTGTGTGTGTGTCAAGGCCATGCTTCCCACAGATGCTCCCAGTCGGCGACTGAGTGCAGCAGGGTCCGTTACTGGGAGGCACAGGACTCCTCTGGTGGGAGACGTTGGCTCAGGACTCCCTGACAGCCTTGCTCAACTAGATGCTGCCACCTGACACTCTTTTCTTCCTTCCTTTTCTTCTTTACCCTGTATCAGACCTACATGGCAGTCTCATGGCTTTCCCAGCCTTCCCTGCCTCCTTTGTTCTTTCCTTCACAGACCTTTCTCCCAGTAAATCACTTACTCTTCTAGTCCTCTTATTGTCTGCTTCTTGGAGGACCTGGAACAACACTGTGAGCGCAACTTCCATTTCATTTTCATCTCTATTCCCCTTGCTCCTCTGCTTTCCTTATTGAAAGAGTTGTTATTGTTTAACCTGACATTGGAACTCTTTCTCCTCTCCTGCCCACTTTCTCCCCTCTACATGTCCCTTCTTCTCCATTATCCTTCAGGAGGAGAGAGCACGGGCTCCTCTGAAAGTGGAATTTGCTAGAGACCAAAGCATCTGGCCAGTTAGTCCCTTTTCTTCTTTGAGTTCAAGGCATTCTTAATCGTTTTATTCTAGTATTGATAAGAAAACTTCTTAGGACGCAGGGCAGTGCTCTCATTTTTACAGGTGAGGAGATTGACATCCAAGTTGGAGCGATCTGTCCAATTTAAGGACAGATTAAGGAATAGCACCCCGTCTTTTTTTCTTCAGGCTCTCAACTTTACCATATGGGCTAAAATTCAAGATCAGGCACAACTTTTGAGGGTGCCATGGACTACACATTTGTCTAAACATACTTATAAGTAACTTCTAAAGATTCGTGATATTTAAGAGATGAAAGTGATTTTAGCGATGTTTGTAATAGTGGAAAACCATAAACAACACAAATCTTCAATAATTGATAAGTAGTCAAGTATATTACCAACTATGATAGGCATGAAGCCATTAAAATATATGTTGTACAAGAATATTTAATGATGTGGATATGTGCTTATGCTATACTATTAAGTGAAAAGGGCAGATTTTAAAATAATGCATAAAGTATATTCCCAATGATGTAAAAAGAAATACATTTACACAGTTCAAAATTCAAAGGTGTATACAATAAAAAGTTTCCCTCTTACCCATTTCCACCCCAGAGACAATCAATATTATTAGTTTACAATATAGTATTGTAGAAATATTTTATGTATAATCAAGCATATGTATGTTCTTCTTCACTTGCCTTCACAACTTTTTTTTGAGAAAAAAATGTTCTACTTTTTTGTAAGTTTGCATACTTAATACTCTGCTATTTTGACTATTGGTTACACTTTTTTACCAATGTAAAAGGTCCCTTAATGTTACTTGATGCTTCTTATGTGAAATTTTATTGTAAATAGATAAATAAATTTTATAATATCTTACTTGAGATGTTTATTAGCCAAACTCCCCAGTGAGGTAGGAAAAAAGAAAGTAAGCATGTACTCTCTGATAGAGCATTTTGAAACAGAAGATTATATTTAGTTTCCCACGAGAAGATAATCTTAGTGATTGTTTCAGTATTGGGTGTGTGGTACATTCTAGGTCAAGTTGAGCTGCTCTCGTGTCCTCACGTAGGTAGGCAGGGAACAAGCTCCTATGTGCGGGCACAGAGAGAAGGAAGAGATTGCAGAGCATGCTCCACTGCAAAGCCTAGGGTGCATGGGGCGCGTGAGCCGAAAGAGAGCTGTAAAAGACACATCAATGTTTTCCACTCTCTTAAGTTCATCTGGAACCACCTTCTTCTATCTGCTGCTATTTAGCAAAGGTACGTTTGCTTTCCATGCTCAAATCAAGAAAAAGTCCATCCATGCTCTATCATCCATAAACAGTATCATCTATCTTCTCAGTCACCTGATGAGAGAACCAGGGCTACTGGCATGCACTCGCTGATCCACCTGCATCTTTCTACCTTTCTGAATTGAAAAAATATAGCATGAAGTTTTTAGGGGCTGCTGGTTGAAGTGAAGACCGTTTCCTTGCTCTTCCTCTCTCCCTAAGAGATGTGTGTGAAAGTACTTTGCAAGGAGGACTATATACATATTTTGAGTGTCTTTGTCAGGGGGAGAAATCACATAAGGGAATATCCCGAGGAGTTTGACGTCAAGCTGTATCTTCAGAGCATCCTCTGGAGAGCACTTTATACAGGGTTCACTACTGTCAACTGGTAACACAGAGTCTGAGATTTTATCAGATATTTGAAGCTGCATGACCATGGGCATTTGCCTAATCTCTTGAAGCCTCATGCTCTTCATCTGTGAAGTGGGGAGACTTCTGGAGCCAACTTCCTAAGAGTTGTGGTAAGGATTAAATGGCACATCATATGCAAAGCACTTTGCATTGTCTCTGACTCAGAGAAGTCGTTAGGAACAGACACTCAAGAAAACGAGTTCATTGATGTTTTAACTTGTAACTCCACAGTTTTCCTTCAGCTAATAATACTTTTTGTGTTCACAGAAAAATGGGTGGATCAGCACCACCGGAGAGCAGCTGGAAAGGAAGTCTCCCGGTGCCCTACAACGTTGGACCTGGCTTTATTGGAAACTTCTCTACACAGTTAAGAGACTGTTTTTATTGTAACTTGTTTTGGGGGAAGGAAATCTTTAAAAAAAAAAACAATTACAGGGGCCTGCTCCGTAGCCGACTGGTTAAGTTTGCGCGCTCCCCTGCGGCCGCCCAGGGTTTGGATCCTGGGCACAGACATGGCACCACTCGTCAGGCCACGTTGAGGCGGCGTCCCACATCCCACACTAGAAGGACATGCAACTAAGATATACAACTGTGTACAGGCGGGGTTGGGGGAAATAAAGCAGAAAAAAAAAAAAAAGATTGGCAACAGTTGTTAGCCCAGGGGCCAATCTTTGAAAAAAAAAAAAGGGAAGATTGGCAACAGTTGTTAGCCCAGGTGCCAATCTTTAAAAAAAAATTACAGAGAATGACTGAAAGAAGTAAAATCTATCTAGTACCAGCAGGAAAGGAACCCACAGGTTGAACTTACATCGTTACCATTGGACAGTTGGCCCATGTAATTTTTGCCAGTGTACATTTAGAAATCTTTTAAACAATGATGTAAGATTTAAAAATTGCAGGTAGTAGGGGCTGGCCCAGTGGCGCAGCAGTTAAGTGTGCACGTTCCAATTTGGCAGCCTGGGGTTCGCTGGTTCGGATCCCCGGTGCAGACATGGCACCGCTTGGCAAGCCATGCTGTGGTAGGCGTCCCACATATAAAGTGGAGGAAGATGGCCGCAGATGTTAGCTCAGGGCTAATCTTCCTCAAAAAACAAATAAACAAACAAAAATTGTAGGTAGTAATCTGTTAACCAGTATTTTTAGAATATGTCCTTTATTTTTGCATTAGGAAAGTCAAGATGCACATCCATTCCAACAATAAAGTGACAAGAATTTACAATGTGATTGGCACTCTCAGAGGAGCAGTGGAACCAGGTAAATCAATCGTTTGCTCAGCAGGTATTGACAGAGCAAGTCTTCTGTGCCAAGAACTGCTCTGAGCTCTGGGAATGTCGGGTGAACTGAGCAAAGCAACCCTTTGCCCTAATGGAACGTACATAAACAAAATACATAAATATGAAGTAATTTTGTATTGTGGTGCTTGTTGTGGAGAAAAGTGAATGTTGGGGCTAAGCGGGTCATGTGACCTGAGTTAGTGATAGACTGTATGTGCTTCAGTTAAAGGATCATGGGAGGAAGGGCAGAGGGATTGTTTTTGAGGTGTTTTCTCTGAGTTTTCCAGAGTTGTTCACCACATATTTCGCATGGGGAAATATCTTCATGATAACTACAAACATCTCTGTGAAAGATAGCACTCTTACGATGTATGCCTGAAACTAAGAAGATATTGTATGCCAAAGATTCTTCAATAAAAAAATAAAAGATAGGACCAGTCCCAGTGGCCTAGTGGTTGAGTCTGGCTCACTCTACTTTGGCAGCCTGGATTTGGTTCCCCGGCCTGCACCACTTGTCTGTGGCCATGCTATGGTGGTGGCTCACATGCAAAAAGAGGAAGATTGGCAGCAGATGTTAGCTCAGGGTGAATCTTCCTCAGCAATAAATAAATAAATAAATAAAAATAAAAGTGCTCAGAAAATTAAAGTAATAAATCTTTACACGGTTTTGTTTTCCACTGAAGTCGATGAAATATATAAACACATGATTTCCACAGGATTTCAGATGACCTGCTGATTCATACGTATTATAATTGGTCTTCACTATGTTCCATTTCCTTAGGAATTGTGTGGTTATATGTTTCTTACCTAAACAGATAGAATTAAATTGCATATTTTTCTTACAAGCAGTCAGTGATTTTTTTCAGGGACCAAGAATGTTGCTATGCTTCCAGTGACTACTCAATGATATATAACTGGCTATTGAATCTTACAGAGTACCAATTTTGTGCCAGCTCTGTGCTAGGCATTGGGGATGAAGGGATAAAAAGACACGGACCTGGGACAAAGAGGGCACAGTGTGGGAAGGGAGCCATACATTTAAGTGTGGTAGGTGCTTTATCAGATATGAAAAGATGGCCCTGAGAGTTGGGAGCAATGCCCTCCCTCTCTGGAAAATAAGAAAGGTTCATAGAAGGGAAAAATCTTTGAGCTGTACCTTGAAAATTGAATAGAAGGAGTAGAAAGTGGAGAACTTAGCACGTGGCCACTGTGTTCTCTTGGAAAAAACTGGAAACAAAGTTGTAAGTAGGTAACAAGAATACTAGAGAATTATATAAAGAGGTGAAGAGAATAATTTTATACTTACTTATCATTACATCTATACTTATTACTGTAATACATTGATGTGTACATGTGCTTGTCACATTGATATCTTCATATGTCAAAATCAGAGTAAAATAATTTGTTTACTGAAGTCTTTGGGAGCCTTGCTATCTTTCTTTGAGTGATGAGAGCTCTGTGTTTAGATGCTATCAAGTCATTTGCAACTTACCCTGTTATTGACCTGAAATGACAAATAATTTTGCAATCATGCTTTTTAGACAGATATGTCATTCTTGGAGGTCACCGTGACGCATGGGTGTTTGGTGGCATTGACCCTCAGAGTGGAGCAGCTGTTGTTCATGAAATCGTGAGGAGTTTTGGAACACTGAAAAAAGAAGGTAATATCACCAAAACGTAAAAAAGACTGACTTCTCTGAGTCCCAGCATAGTCCTCTGTTAAATACCACCTTCTCATGGGTTTGTGTGAAAAGTCCACTGAGAGGATTCATGCAAACCTTATCATCTTAGTAGCAAAGAGTACTCGGGGGTACTTAACACAGAGTGGCTTTCAGTAAATAGTAGCTATGTTACTTATTTTGATAAGTCAATTGTGTTGTTTATTTTTGCATTTATTTATGTAATAATGTTTAATTATTGATATTTATATAGAAAATTATAATCTGAAATAAAGGAATTATACTGTTAGTGATTTTTCTTGGCAACTGAGAAGATGGAGATGGGTTTCTTCACCGGAGAGGGCACACCAAAATTAGGTCAGAAACCAAAGCATCCTGGCCAAACTACGAGCAGAGGTTCCTTAGGCTCTTCCAGCCTCGCACCTCAGGTCACGTGTCCTGAGTAACTGAGGAGATCGAAGCTCACTCAGGACAATGCTGGTCTTGCTTCCTGGTAGGATTCTATCAAAAGTTTGATGTCTGCGTTCTCACACTCCAAGTCTTGGTTTGCCCTCGCAGAATTTAGGTTTGTATTCTTAGCACCATTGCTTCAGTCATTTTAGAATCTTCATATGAAAACCAAGACAAAATTTAGTTCAAATGGTTGCTTTTTAAAATAATCCTTACACACTGAGAGCAAAAGTTCCTTTCTCTTAACTGACCCTGCAAGCAAGATGTCTGGGGGCTGTAAATGTGACCCATATTTTTTTAGCAACAATAAAAATGATGGTAAAAATATGTTAAGTTTTCATGGTACTCATTTTCTCAGAGAAACGATATTTTCACTTGTGTTCTCTATTTTAAATTCATAGCAACCAGGGAGAAGCTTACCTAGTTATTTCTGTTCTCATTTTACAAATAAGTTATCCAAGGTTTCTAGAATCAAATAATTCACCCAAGATTATATAGCTAGTGTGTAGCAGAGTCAGACAACCACGGCTTAAAAATCAAATTTCTGGCTACCAGGCCGCAAAACTGTGATGTCTCTCTTTAAAATAAAAGGTAAAGGTGATATTCTTTTTTCCACACAGCTGTCTTATATTTTAAGAAAATAGAACTATGGAGACCTGAATTTACATAGCTCATGAATTAGGTAGTGCTTAAGATTATTGCAAAAAATTTCATGATTTTGCAAGAAGATTCCCTGTGGGAAATACAAAGATCACAGGAACAATGATAGAATATGCCGAAAGAATGCAATGATGAGGAATGACAATAGGAAATCTGACAAAAATAGAACACTGGACTCAGCTGTAGGCATGCACATTCTTGATAAGCACAAATGAAATACCTACTAAAATAATGGCTCCTTACAATTTTTGGAGCACATTTTAAGTGCTGTATTTGTAAATATTATTCCATTTAATCCTCCCAACAATCGAGTTGGTATCTTCATCACCTCTGGGATTCCTGGTGTACAGATGAAGAAAAGGAAGCTTAGTTAGTCTCAATAACTTTCTCTCAGTCATGCTGCTAGTAAGTGAAAGAACCCTGATTTGAAATATGATCTTTCTTTAACTCCAGGGTCCGTGTTTATAACGCCAAGCCATATGACCTCCCTATTGAATTATGTGGTTTTCAGCAGCGACAGACATTGCTCTTGCTAACTGAGCTTCCGTTGACTAATGCTGGCAGAGAATGGAGTGAAATCACACAAGCAGCTGACACTGGACAATCGTTCGTGTGATGCCCCAACAACACGGAAGTGTTGTAAAGGCTGTTCTCTCAGTTGTGTCTGCTCTCAGAACACAGACCGCATCCAGCACTTGTTTCTTTCACTCTTGGCAGCTGCAGAGCATAGCCGGCTTCCTGCGCATGTCCAATCATTATAAACCTATTAGAATATTTTATGGTCTCACGGAATTCTTACTTTGTCTACATTTTTCCTTTTTACGACACAAATGTGCTATTTTGTATTGACAAATCAGTTTTAAAATCTTGCAAAAGGGAATGATATAACTAAAGATTCTCACCACAATTCACCCTTCCTGAACAGTCAATGACATTTTTGTTCTATTTTTCTGTTGGGCTTGGCCGTGTCTTGGATGTGTTACGCGTTTTCCCAGCGTTTATCTGTACACATTTGTTTTAGGGTGGAGGCCCAGGAGGACAATTCTGTTTGCAAGCTGGGATGCGGAAGAATTTGGTCTTCTTGGTTCTACTGAGTGGGCAGAGGTTAGTTCATAAGTTGCTACAATATGGATTTTCATAATAATAAAGCAATTAGGACTTAATTGTAAAAATAGCAAATGAATCCAGTGACAAAATATTCAGATTGTTTTCCAGAAAATCTGAAACAACGTCTTCTTGTTCAAAAATCAACAATAAAAATCTTTGTCACTAAAGAACTATTTTGTTTGAACTTTAAAAGCCACTTCATATCAATTATCAAAATAACTTATCTTCATTTTCTGGGAGGTGATAGTAGTAAATAAGTAAATTCACTAGAAACCAAACATCAAAATAAGTATCATGTTCCTGTTCCCCTTTTGAAATTAGGTCCCAAAGCTACCCACATTGCAATACCCCCGTGAACGTGTACAGTGAGCTATACTTTTCACGTGTATCTTCCTTATATCATAATGCCCTACTCTCAACTAAATCACGTGAAAGTGAGGCAGAAAGTCCCACCACAGAATATTTCATAGACTCCTTGGAGAGTAACTTTACCTGCATGTATTTATTGTTGGCTTTGTGGAATAGGAGCATTAGCTGTGAAGTAAATATATGCAAAGTTAACATTTACTCCTTTAACTTCCAGTCATGCTGTACATATTTATTTGGCTCCTTTTATATACTTCAGGAACTATGAGAAGCCCTGGAAACTTCACTTTTCTTTGAAAAAAAAATAGTAGTGCTCCTATAGACGAGAAAGATTTATGTTAGTGTCAGAGCCTAAATATTTTGAGAGTGTGGTTTCTCTCTTTCAAATTATTTTTGTCACAGAGAGTTGCATGTTTTTTTCCTTTTTCTTTCTTACACTCAGGATTCTTAGAAAATTGCGTGTTTTGGAGACTCAGAATCCACTTGATGTCTCAAAACAACTTGGCTATTCTGTTTTAAAATTGTGCAATGATCAATCTTGACCAGTAGGTGGTGGCACAACACAGGAAAACAACTTCATGTTTACGGTCATAGAGACATGACTTGACTTCACGTATTTTTAATCCATAAATTTGAAATAGCTCATTCCCTGTGAATCAGGCAAGGTTCGCTCCTTAAATAATGAGATGTTCCCTGGAAGACTTCCACCAAAAGGGTCTCAGACCATTCACGTTTGCTGAGAGACTTTCTTGAAAGATAAACTATAGTATGTTTAAGAAATCAACTCGTTTTCCATTTACCATATTAAGAATGTGGACAGTTTCATCTTGAATTTTAGTCTTAAAAATGTTTTGCTTGTTATTTCTTACCAAAAATCCTCGTTGCAATTCTTTTAAAGAAACTCTTTTTTGAGAATCTTATATATCAAATTTGCGGTGGACTTAGGCCAGCTTAATTCAGAAATCGGCATACAGTAAGTGTAGATGTGCATTTTTTTTTAGGGGGAAGTTATGGCTCTCTGTTTATGGTTTCCTTTCTTTTTTAAATAGGAGAATTCCAGACTCCTTCAAGAGCGTGGCGTGGCCTATATTAATGCTGATTCTTCTATAGAAGGTGAATATCATTGGTCTCAAAGGAAAAGATGTGCTGGGGGAGCAGCAGCAGTTAATACATCACGTACTGACAAGGAAGGCAGATCCATTCCCATGTGGTTAGGGACTCTGCTGCTGGTTTGTCGGTGCTGCCCTGACTCACGGCAGCTGTGAGCCCTAGAGTGCTAATTTGGGAGAGCAGCGCTCCTTGATTTGTTTTGTCTGACAGATTACCTTGTCTATGGTAGGAATTTAGTAAATATTTGTTAAATGAATAAGTAAATTATACAACTAAGGATTTGTATGATTTTAGAATAGGGTAGCAGAAAAGCATTATTTAAATTTAACCCAGTTTCATCATAATATCATGCATACAAATTTTGAAAAAATGCTGATGTCCAAGATCTCATCTTTCACCGAGTATTTTTCTTCTTAAATTTTTTTCTTCAATTCAACAACTATGTACTGAGCACCTCTCTCTGCAGCGTACTTTCCAGTATTTCAAAGGAATCAGCAGTTAGTGAAGAACAGTCTGGTACTCGAGAGTTCACAGCTCAGTATAGATGATAAAATATATCTGTTTAGGATTCTGACGTATGCAGGGACTGTAAGGGTGTAATCGGATGGTCTGGGAGTTCAGAGGAGAGAATGACAGCAACTTCAGGAAAGCCTTGAGAAATGCGATAGACATTTGAGACAGGTCTTTAAGAATGGATTTGCTTTTGATAAGCAGAGATTCGAACTAAAAGACATTCCCAGGTCTATTTCCAAGATCAAACAGTCCATTGCCACTATACTCCAGACCCACTAGTCTTTCTATTCTTGACCATATACAGCTTCCCAGCCATTGCAACTGCTGTTCTCTGAGCTCAGATTGCTGTGCCACACACTGTCTGTTCCCTTCCTATACTTACAGTCTCCCCTGAAGTGCGACTTTTTCAGGGAAGCCATATCTTTGTAGCACTCATGTTTGCCGTTATTAAGTTATTATTTGTTTTACAAACTGCCTCGTACTAGATGATATTCTTCAGCAAGGAACAGATAGGATCTTGCTTGATAACTCCTTAATTCCTAATGCTTCATTAAATACATATTTGTTGCATGCATGCAACAAATCAATGAATAAATGAGTGAAGGGTAGACTTCTAGAATCTTTTCTTTAGTGTAATAGTAAATTTGCCACATCAACAATAATCGAGACGTTTCATTTTAATGGAGGCACTGTGGCATTTACATTTTCTTCCTTGTCCACGTGTCTGAGCTGCACTGTGCCCTAAGTTAGTCCCACAGTACATTTCCATCCTTGCCCCCTTCTCTTAGGTTCGTGGCTAAGGGCCTGGCCTCCTGATTCCCAGCCACTTCCTAATTGTGACCTCAGGTTGTTACTTACTTTCTGTGTCTCAATTTTCTCACCTCTAAGTAGAGTTACTAAGAGCACATATCTCAGAGGTTCTTGTAAGGGCAAAAGAGGTTCATATTTGCAACCATCCCAGACCTCTGCCTGGCACGGAGTAAATGTTTGAAAACGTTAGCTTGGGTTATTATCACCCTTACTTAAAAACACGTAAGATGAAAGACCTTTGCCACACACAATAAATACTCCAGACATTCTTTGAAACTAGAATAATGTTCTCTTTATTGCTAGTTTTTTTTTAAGATTTGATTTTTAATGTATGTTTTTAAATCATTGGATTTTGCTGATCATGTCATTCTCCGCCTTAAAATGCTGCATTGTCTCCCTATCATTTCAGAATCAACAGCAAATGACACACACGTTACTCTATCATTGGGACACCACTTATCTCAATCTGTTTTATACTTAAAATTTTATTAAATGTTCATTTCTCAAGTAATTCCATCAATGATCTCTTGGCTTTCTCATGTTAAAATGCAAAATTTACAAATAAAGTACCAACAGTGTAGCAGGTGCTGTCTTAAGTGCTTTACATGTAAAAATTTATTTAACACTCACAATGACTCTGTGAGGTGAGTACTTTTGTTATATCTGTTGTATAAAGATGGAAATTGAGATTCAGAGGGATAACGTAACTTTCTCAAGGTCACACGCCTGGTAAAGGATTGAGCTGAGAGTCAGATCAAGCTGCTCTGTTCCCACATTCTCCTTCTAACCACCCCGTTCTATTGCCTCTCACTGCATTATACAGGTTTTTGATATCATATTACAGCTAAATGGTTCTGCAACTTGCTTTTTTTCATTCAACAACACATTAGATCTACTTCACTTGAAAATAAGACTTCTACAATGTATTCAGTAGAGCAAGTTATATATCAGTCTCGAGCTGATGGTCAGATTGCTTCAGTTTGTTACAGTAAATATCCTTTCTATTTCCATGCCTTTTTCTTTATAATGTGAAGGTGGAGTAGTAAGCTACAAGAATCATTGTTTGGTCACGGGATATGTGCCTTAAATTGTAATAGATGCTGCCAAATGACCTCCCCTGCCCCTCCAATTTACACTCCTACCAGCACTTCCATTTTAAAAATTGCGTTGGCTATTTGTGCGTATTTATTCTTCCAGATGAGTTTTAGAATCAGTTTTTCAAGTTCCATGAACACTTCTGCTGCGGTGTGTACTTATTTTTTTATTTATTTATTTTTTTGGTGAGGAGGATTGACCCTGAGCTAACATCTGTGCCAATCCTCCTCTATTGTGTATGTGGGATGCCACCACAGAGTGGCTTGATGAGTGGTGCACAGGTCTGTGCCTGGGATCCAAACTCGTGAACGCTGAGCCGCCAAAGCAGAGCATGCAAACCCAATCACTACGCCACCGGGCGAGCCTGTGTACTTATTTTTAAAGCCTTAACTTTTGCTGTTCCCAGTCATGGATCTCAAGCTTTGGGATAAGAGCTGCTTGCCATTCTCTGAGTGCATCATGTACTTTTACATTTCTGGGCATTTCTACAAGCTACTCCTTAATGAAGTTGCTTTAACCTCCCCTCCCCAGGCCCCCATCCTGATTTAGCCTCCCCTCCCTCTGCTCCCGCAGCTTCCCAAGGGCCCTGTCCTGGCTGGTTCACTTGACTCCCAAGCTCATCAAACAGAGAGTTCCTGAGGAATGGAGACACCATCTCTGCTCTCTATTCAGGACTAGCCAGAGAGTGCCTGGCTTACAAATTCATTTTTACAACAAATGTTTTTTGGGCGAATGCTACATGCCTGAGCAGTTCTAAGCCCTGAGGATAGGGCAGCAAATAAAAGAGAACACCTGTTAGCATGGAACTTATAGTCTAGAAGAAGGATGGACAATAAAAAACCCAAATATTTAACATTTTACATAAGTAAGTAACAAGGGAGAAATAAACCAAGGTTGAGAGAAAAAGAGATTGGCCCGAGTAGAGGGGGAGACTATGCTCTTTTAGGTGTTAGGGAAAAACCCAGAAAACATGACAGAGTCCAGAGGTCTAAGTGGGAGAATAAGTCATGCGGAAATAGTGCAGAACACTGTTCCAGGCTGAGGGAACAGACTGTGCAAAGACCTGAGAAGGAGTCTGCTTCAGCAAAGTGGGAGGTGAAGATTTGGAGAGGTGAACCAGGGTTGTTTCATGTATGACGCTGAAAGCCACAGTGAGGATGACGGATTTTATTTAGTGATGAGTTGGAGAGTTTTGGTCAGACTTAGGTTTTAAAAGGATCATCCTGGCTAAGGAGTTAGGAATGGTCTTTGAATGAAAGCATCAAATAAAGAAATGAAATAAACAATCTATCCTCTCCTTATCTTTCAGGAAACTACACTCTGAGAGTTGATTGTACCCCACTGCTGTACAGCTTGGTATACAACCTAACAAAAGAGGTAAAAAGAATTAAATATAATTTAAGAAAATCTAAGTTCTACAAATGATGCTTTCTTGAGGTACCGTTGTTATGTTAAACATCTGTGTTGTTTTATAACTCGTCTCTTTTTACACAGCAAATGTCCACTGCAAAAACATTATATCTGATGAACTGTTTACACACATTACTGATTTCGCACACCGCTCTGACCCAGCCTTTGGGTGGCAATGTGTCTACCATCCCCATTTTGAGAACCGGGAAACTGAGCTCAGAAAACGTTAGCCGCCAAAGTCACACAACTTGTACAATAGCTGAACAAGGACTTCGTCCTGTGGTTTAACTCCTTAAAATTGTTTTTGTTTTTGAGGAAAATTAGCCCTGAGCTAACTACTGCCAATCCTCCTCTTTTTGCCGAGGAAGACTGGCCCTGAGCTCACATCCATGTCCATCTTCCTCCACTTTATATGTGGGACTCCTGCCACAGCATGGCTTGACAAGTGGTGCGTAGGTCTGCACCCGAATCCAAACCAGGGAACCCCAGGCCGTCAAAGCGGAACTTGCACACTTAACCTCTGTGACACTGGACCAGCCCCTTAACTCCTTAATTTTAAAACTGATTTATAGTCTTTAATATAATGGTATCAACCACTTCAGGATACAGGAAGAGTTAAAGTTTCTAATTGAGAAAGAAGATGTGTAAAAACACCAGGGCTGACTCCTGGGGGTGAATCAATTTAGGGCAGAGGCTAGATGAGACCATGTCCCCCACTTCCCGACTTCCTGCCTTGGGCTCCAATCCACTGAGCCCCACTGGGCCGGGCTGACAGCTAAAGTCGTCTTAATTCTGACAGCAGCACAAGATACTGAACCTGTCAGAGAGGCGGTGCCTGAATTCTTATAGGACTGACAGGCAGCGATTTAGTTCTTCTGTCCCAGAAATCCACTGTCCTAAAGTTAGTCCTGATGAAGGAGTTTTCCTGTGCCAGACTTTTGTTGTTTACTGCTAATTAACTGATTTGAACTGGAAAGGACAAAAAGACTTGCCTATTTAATATGATTACCAATTGAAATGTAGTTACCAAGAAAAATACAACCATTTCCCTCAGATATAGATATTTTAAATAAAACCTAAATATCAGTAAGCTTTGGTTTCAAAAGCATGGAATTTAATTTTGTTTATTTTTTATTTTATTTTTTTTGAGGAAGATTAGCCCTGAGCTAACATCTGCTGCCAATCCTCCTCTTTTTGCTGAGGGAGACTGGCCCTGAGCTAACATCCATGCCCATCTTCCTCTGCTTTATATGTGGGATGCCTGCCACAGCATGGTGTGCCAAGCAGTGCCATGTTCGCACTCGGGATCCGAACTGGAGAACCCTGGGCTGCCAAAGTGGAACGTGTGCACTTAACCATTGTGCCACTGGGCCAGCCCTGAATTTAATTTTATAACTTAACTTCTCCAATAGTAATAAAAAAAATTAATTTGAAAAAAATTTATCCATGTCGCTACTTAAGGGCTCCATCATTTGCCTGCAATGTTATCAATTTCTATGAAATGTATAATAATTTAAATATCTGATGCAGGGTGTTTCAGAGAGTTCCCACCACTCATGTAATTTAAGGTAAATGCTAAGGAAGCTTGGTGATTATATTTGCTTACTAGCTGTGTTGGTGGCATCATGGGACAGTTGCAATAACACTGCTCTCTAGGTCAGGTTTGAAATTATGTGATGCTTGACAATTTTCGGTTTTGTTTTATTCTGTTTGGGGAGAATGATTTGCAGCTTTTCAAATTTTATTGAGAAACTGAGAATTCAGCAATATATTTCTACGTTATTCCAAATTTGCATTTGTTAGAATAAATGAGTGATGTGGTCCCTTTTATCAAAATTTGGTGTAGATTTATAGCTTGATTGAAATTATTTTGTTGCTTTATTTATTCATATTGTACAAGTTAAGATGTTGACATAACGTCTGAGCCTCTCCTTGCACTTAAGCAGATTCATTTGTGTTCCCATGGACCTTTGCACAGACCTCTATTATAGCACCTATCCCACTGAATTCCACATTTGTAGTCACAGTTCCCGCTTACTGAACTTTGTATCCCTGACATCTACAAAAAGCCTTAAACAGCGTAGGTACTCTATGAACTTTTTTGAACTGAATTCATTGAAAAATAGAACATAGGTCTTTTATTAAACATAAAGTGAAAACATTGTATACCATATAGTGTTCAGTTACCTATGAGTTGGAACATTAATTAAAATTTAGTTTGCTAAATGTCTTTTTTTTTCGCTTGAGGAAGATTAGCCCTGAGCTAACATCTGTGCCAATTTTCCTCTATTTTGTGTGTTGGTCACCACCACAGCATGGCTGACGAGTGGTGTAGGTCTGTGCCCAGGATCCGAACCTGTGAAATCAGGAAACCAGGCCACAGAAGTGGACCATGCCAAACTCAACCACTGTGCCACAGGGCCAGCCCCTTGCTAAATGTTTTTGGCATAACATCTAATGCTCTGAGTCTAGAATTCAATAATAGATCATATTTTGCTCTCTTAGTTTTCTCATTTGTAAAACCAGAAAATATATTGAAAACCCAGTGTTTAGCACAATTACAATAAATACACAACTAATTAAATAAAATATTAATGCATTTTTTATTATGTATTATTTAATGACTTTGGCAACCTTACTGGCAAGAAGCAATATTAAAAGAAATATCTTCCCTTAACCAGCTTGCTTCTCTTCATTTTGTTTTTTATGAGAGGAGGAGAAATATATGTTTTTGAGAGGAGCCTCCCTCAATTTAGAAAAAAAGGCCAAAAAAATCTTATTATATGACCCATTCATCTGAATACGACATCTTGGTGGTAATTTGGTGTAGCCTTCTTTTCTCTACACTCCATGTATTTTTAATAATAGCTACACTTATACATAATAACATGAGCATTTTCCTGTGTTGTCAGAAACATTATTGTAATTCTTACTGACTGCTAACGTGTGAGTTGCATCCCTTGGTTTGCTGAATATAGTTTAGCTATTCATTTCCTGGTTAATGGACATTTGCATTTAAAGATATCTGATTTATAAGTATTCTCTCTCTCTCTTTTTTTTTAACTTGTGTAGCTCCAAAGCCCTGATGACGGCTTTGAAGGCAAATCTCTTTATGAGAGCTGGAATGAGAAAAGTCCTTCACCGGAGCTCAGCGGTGTGCCCAGGTAAACGGACAAATGAAACTTTCTGCTGAATTCAGTATGGGATTGTGTTGAAAATAAAAGGGTATTTTCTTTCAATCATTAATAATAAGCATTTAATTTCTCAAAACTCTCTAACATCTGATAAAGGAAAGGCAATGTATTACTATATGCTTTGAAGTTAAATTTGTAGGCCATCAAAAAATCGTTCTCTTTTGGGGCCAGCCCTGTGGCTGAGTGGTTAAAGTTCTGCGTGCTCTGCTTTGGCGGCCCAGGTTCATGGGTTCAGATCCTGGGTGCGGATCTGCTCCACTCACCTGCCATCCTGTGGAGGTGTCGCACCTACAAAGTGGAGGAATATTGGCATGGATGTTAGCTCAGGGCTAATCTTCCTCAAGCAAAAAAAAAACAAAAACAAGAGGAGGATTAGTAACGAATGTTAGCTCAGGGTAAATCTTCCTCATGAAAAAAAGTTCTCTTTTGAATAGGAAATAAATGCACATGGTACATAAGTCAAAGGTTATAATGGTGGAAAGTAATTCCCCCTCACATTTCTGACCCTAGTCACTATATAAATTTTCTTTTTTTCTGAACATCATACAGTTAACAAATATTTTGCTTACTTAAGAAAAATACAGACATCATTTCAGTATTGGTTTTATCTTCACAAGCTAGGGAAGAGAAATAAATATCTCGGTAATCTGAGATTATAGGTGTCAACAGTATGAATAATTTAAATTTTTAAGGATAGGATTTGCATCTGAATTATGTGAAAAAGTTTTGCTTCTTTTAACTTTCTTGTGTACAACAAATATAGATGAGAAAGTAAGTTAATGAAGGAAAATATTTTCCAGCTTCATGAATCTTTTAAAAAAGGTCACATATAATTGTGATATTGTGATTTATAATAAGAAATATATATTTCATCTCCATCCCCATTTCTGGCATGGAGCCTCTAAAATTCTTGGAATTTTCCAGAGTGAGGAGAACAGTAATGGTGTTTCTTGCTTTGTGAATGAGGTGACTTTTGGATGCACCTAAGGATGGGAGCTGGTTGCCAGGACAACCAACCAGGTGATTAGAGGGTTGGAACTTTCAGTCCCACCCTGAACCTCCAGGGAGGGGAGAAGGCCTGAGTGTTGAATCAGTTGCCAATGGCCACTGATTTAATTGATCAAAACTCTGTAATGACGCCTCCATAAAACCCCAAAAGGACAGGGTTCAGAGAGCTTCCAGGTTGGCGAACACATGGAGAGGCAGGGAGAGCAGCTGGCACACCTGGAGTGAGCATGGAAGCTCTGCTCCCTTTCTCCATACCTTGCCCTGTGCATCTCTTCCATCGGGCTGTTCCTGAGTTATATCCTTGTATAATGAACCGGTGGCCTAGTAAGGAAAATATCCCTCTGAGTTCTGTGAACTGCTCTAGCAGGTTAATCAAACCCAAGGAGGGGGTTGTGAAAACCTCTGCTTTATAACCAGTTGGTCAGAAGCACAGATGACACTCTTGTGATTGGCTTCTGGCGATAAGGGTGGCAGTCTTGTAGGATTGGACCCTTGACCTGTCAAATTTGACACTGTCTCCAGGTAAATAGTGTCAGAATTGAGTTGAACTGTAGGACATGCAACTGGTGTTCCAGAGAACTGCTTGTTGTTATTGTGGGGAAATACCTCCCACCCCACCCCACCCCAGAATGTTGCATTTGGGTCCAGGAACCCAAAGAACAATGGTCACCTCTACCCAAAATAATCTTAAGGAAGTAGATATTTTGTGATCAGAATTGATATTCCTTCAATTTTTTTTTGCTGCTTGTCTAAGATGATACATCTAAAAGTTAAATATTTATAGTAGTAAGAATGGAGTTTAGTTTATCTTTAATCTGTACTCAGTGAAGAAATTACTCAAATAATCCTCTATTTTATCCCTAAAAGGATTAGCAAGTTGGGATCCGGTAATGATTTTGAGGTGTTCTTCCAAAGGCTTGGAATTGCTTCAGGCAGAGCACGGTATACCAAAAATTGGGTAAGTCTATCAGTAAGTTCGTCAAGATTATTTATAAATATATTTTAGCTGAACAAATAATTCTGAATAAAAAAATGTGGCTTCAGCAGTAGAGGAATGCAGGAACTTGAAACAGAGGGGAGAAGTCTCAAGGGGTGAGGTGGTGCTGCTACGACATGGGAGGGTTCCTGCATCTGGAGTCCTGAGCCTGATAACTTGAATTTCCGTGTATTCCCTTAAACTTATTTTCTGTTCCATTTGGTGACATTGCATTCACCCAGTTACTTAAGCTAGAAATGTAAGAATTGTCTTGACTCCTCTCTACCCATTGTCATTCAAAATTAATCAGTATCAAGACCTGCAAATGTTTGGATTTTTCTCTCATTATATCTCCAGTCGTTAGATATGAAAGTTACAATAACAGATGACACAACAAACAATGGACACCTACACAGGACGTGATTCTTTTCCTCTTGTTGTTGCTGATGGTGATAATGACAATTTTATGGTTTTTATTTTTATCAAAGTAACATAGGTACATGGTTCATAAAATGTCATGTGGTTCTGTTTATAGTGAAAAACAGTGGTCCCTTTTCCCACTTCTATGCTTGTCCCACCCCTGATTCTGTTCAGCAGATTAAAATTCTTTCAACTTGTAATTGGTTTCTTCTGATATCTGTCTGCCTGTTTATAAATAATATGCTTATGCTGCTATTTCTTTGTTTTTCATTTTTATGTCGTATCCATCTACTTCTTACCAGGGAAGAGGCATTCGGTTCTGTTAAATAGCTTCTTCTCCCAACTCTCAAATACCTTCCCTCATCGCATTTTCTCAGTATGTGGTTGTTCTATGCTTGTTGATTAGAACACCTTTTTTTTCCTCCGTGTATATGTAACTAATTCACCCCAAACTCTAAGTATACTCAAACACATCAGGTGATCTGGCAGATTTCATTTTCCCCTTTATGGGGTGTCTGGATTCTCTGGTTGTTCTCTCTGCCTGTGGCACAGCTCTTGCCTGTGAAGTTTGCCTTTACTGAGAAATCTGAGCCAACCTTCATTTCTCTCCTGTTTGGGATCTTCTGTTTTCTGGATTTTGTGTCTTCCTTTTTCTTGTTTACTCTCTACTTTTTCGGGGCTGCATCCTTCAGGAACTTCTTGAGAAGAATGAAGGAAAGCTAAAGACTTTGCATGTCTGAAAATGTCATTTGCACTACACACAATGCTCTGATAGTTTGGTGAGGCACAAAATTGTGGTTGAAAATCTTGTACCCTCAGAATTTTGAACTCATTTCTTTGTTATCTTTCAGCTTTCAGTATTGCTGTTGAGAAATTTAATTCCTGATCCCTTGTCTCTTTTTTTTTAAAGAAAGATTTTAGTATCTTCTCTTTATGACCATGTTGTCCCTGGTGTACACTTGAGCCTTAGCCATTTTTTCATACATGACTGGCCACAAAGTAGGCCCTTTGTTCTGGAAACCTGTATTATGCAGTTGGAAGAAATATTTTTTCTTGATTTCTTCCCTCGTTCCTCCTTTTTGAACTATTACTAGTTTGTTTAGCATCTGGGGCTTATTTTCTGATGTGTTTCTCTTTTGTTTTAATCTATGTCTTTTTCTACTTTCTGGAATGTTTTTTCTCAGCTCTGTCATTCTTTTTTCATTAATTGAAATCTTTTTTAAGTTTTCCTCCATTCACTGCAGTACCTCCTTACCCTGGGTTGATTTTGTTTTAGTTTGTGTGCTTTGTCTGTGTGTTTCAAGTTAAAGGCTTTCTTGCGATGCCTGGTCATCTTTGGCAATCTGTTCTATTTAGGAATGAGACCATAAAAAGTTGACTGAAGCCCTGTATGCATGGGTGGCACATGTTATATGGGAAGCTTCATGGGATAGTGATCAAGAATGCCTGTTCTAGTTGCTTCATTGGGAGGCAACCAACATTAAGAATCTGTAGGTCTTTTCTCTTGGACTAATTATTCTCCCCAGACAGGAAATCTTCAATCTCCTACCATTGGGGCAGGAAGTTAGGCAGGATCAGATGGGGGTGGTGATGAGGGTAGATGTTAATATTATCTACATTTTACTTATAAGAAAACTACAGCAAAGAAAAGTTAATAACCTTTGGGTTAATAACCACCTAAAGTTATTTTGTGATAAATCTGGAAGCCTGGATTCAAACTCTGGCAGCTAATTCCAGAGGCCCAGTCTCTTCAACATACCACTATGTAAAGTGTTCTTTTATATCAATAAAAAAAAGTAAGCAGCTAAAAGAATGGGCAAAAGGCATAAATCAGCAATTTATAAGTTTGAAAAGTCCTTCACTCATGCGTTTTTGGGTTTATTCTTGGTTTCTTATATCTGAGCATTCCTTCTCTTTCCTTTGTGAGATTTTGGATCACTACTGAGCCCCTCTCTGCTCAGACTCTTCACTCTTGAGCACACTGCGTGTCAGAAAATTATTCATTCATGGAATTTCAGTCGTTAAACGATTTGCAGCATCGCCCTATGTAACATTGTATAATGTTTATTTATTTGCCTCTAACAATTTTCTGTCTTATATTATTTTTACTCAAATGCAACCTTATCTTGCCTCTGTTTCAGAAACATTTCCACATCTTCTGTATTCTTAAAGGCAAGACTCTTAAGTCTTTCCAAGATAATTTTTGTGATATCATTTAGGTTATATATTCATATTTTTTAATTAGTAAAAATCTTGGTGGGTTTTAATATTATAGTATTAACCCTTTAGTAAGTGGTTTATTGAGGTACTTAAATACTTCCCTGTATTCACTACTGACGAAAACAGTCTTACTAATATTAACAGTAAATACCATACTATGCATTTTATTATAAGCTATGTTATAAGAGATATATTTTATTTCTTTTCTAGGCAACAAACACATTCAGCAGCTATCCGCTGTATCACAGTGTCTATGAAACATATGAATTGGTGGAAAAGTTTTATGATCCCACTTTTAAGTATCACCTTGCTGTGGCCCAGGTTCGAGGAGGGATGGTATTAGAACTAGCCAATTCCATAGTGCTCCCTTTTGACTGTCGAGATTATGCTGTAGTTTTAAGAAAGTATGCTGACAAAATCTACAATATTTCAATGAAGCATCCACAAGAAATGAAAACATACAATGTGTCTTTTGGTATGCTACACTTCTTTCAAAATTAATTATCTCTGTGTTTCTATTGATCTCTAAAATGTAATGACCTACCTTAGGTCCATTTATTATTTATTGCTATTCCATATGATCAAATATTTTGCTTACCTCTGTAGATGCATTTTCCATTTCGTTGATGCTGATCTTGTAATATACAAAATATATATACCGTGTAAAATACAAAAGAGATCATCTGCTTATATTGTTCCCTTTGCTTAAACTATAGAATGATGCCATTACATCATTTCTATTTCAGATTCACTTTTTTCTGCAGTGGAGAATTTTACAGAAATTGCTTCTGAGTTCAGTGAGAGACTCCAAGACTTGGACAAAAACAAGTATGTTCTACATATATAAGTTATGCATACAATAGATAGAATGAAAAAGAAATACTAGTTGACAACTTGGTTGCTGAAATATCTTTGGAAAGTTTTTGCTGCTTTCCGTCTCCACTCTATCACCTCCTTTACAGGGCTGCCATGGCTCATTATTTCTGACATTCTGAGTGGCAGCTGTGCTGCTGAGAAATGCCGGTGCCTCCTTTACTACCAACTGATTAGTTAGAAAATGCCCACCTCAGCACTGAAGGTCCTCCGCTGTGTGACCCCAGCTTTTTCCAGTTTTATCTCTTGTTTGTTCAGCATCTGTACATCATACTTCAATGAGACTCTCTTATTCCAGAACGCACCTTCTTTCTCTCTCATTTTAATGTCATTACTCCCCAAAAAGTTCCACATTTCCACTCCCACCTGGCAGAATTCTATTTATCCAGAAAAGAAAATATTGTAAAGTCATTATTTTTTTCAAATCTTAAGCCTTTAGGATTAATTCTGTGTGAAATCACAAAAGTAAAGCATAATTTGAACAAAATTTTAAGATAGGAAAAAATAATATGAGAATATTAGAGAAAATTTTTTAAAAAATAGAATTTTAGGATGAACATGTGCTGTATATTGAACATTATGAAGATAAAATATCAAAACCTTGGAGACTATTAAAAAGAAAACCACAGGCCCAAAATGGCATCACTTGTGCTAAAGCTCATGAGTCCAAACCTAGACTTAAAGCTGATCTCACGGCAGTTTCAACTTCTCCTAGAAATGTCTCAATGGACCAGTCTGGAATTTTCTGGTCAAGCACCAGTAAGGTGATCTGTCACATGGGCCCTCTCCATGCCCCGGAAGAAGAAAAGCAGTCTGCATGATAAAGACCCCTACCTTTCTAGGAGAAGTCCTGGCCTAAAAATAATCCTTTCTCTTCTAATAGCTCCCTTGCCCCACCCTTCTTCCTATAAAAACCTTCCATCATCAGTAGAGGCCCTTCTACTTGCTCGATGGGATGCTGCCTAATTCAGGAGATAGGGATGTATTCGTAATGATGGATACATCAAAAATCGATGAGGAGGGGGCCGGCCCCATGGCCAAGTGGTTAAGTTCGCTTGCTCCCCTTCAGCGGCCCAGGGGTTCTTCGAATCCTGGGTCTAGACATGGCACAGCTCTTCAAGCCATGCTGAGGAGGCATCCCACATGCTACAACTAGAAGGACCCACAACTGAAAATACGCAACTATGTACCTGGGGGCTTTGGGGTGAAAAAGGAAAAATAAAATCTTTAAAAAAAAAATCAATGGGGAAAGAAAGGTATTCAACAATAATATTGTAGAAGCTCTTTTAGCAACTGATAAAATGAATTCAGAATCTCACTTCACATTATATGCAAATGTAAGCAACAAGTGTGGAAGAATTCTTCCATAAAAAAATTGGAATCTCTTGGAAGTGAGATTCCAAGTTTAGAAGCAACAGGGAAATGATAATGCAATCATTATGAGAGTATTAAAGTGGTTAATAATATGCAAACTAATAATCAAAACCAAAGATTAAAGACTGGGAAACATCTTTTCCAGAAAAATATGGGCAAGTGGTAATATAAACATTATAGAAATATTTTTTGAAAATTGATGAGAAAATCCAAAAGAACGAAGTTGGAAATATTGGCAGTGGACAAGATAAAGAATTCAAAAGGAAGATACCACCTGTACAGAAAGAGATAGAAAAAACATTCAGATTCACTAATTCAAAACTACAAATGAAAATAATGTTAAACTATTTTCATACTGGTAAATAAGTGAAAAGCAATAAGGTATATTGGAGTATACATGGTGAAGCCATTTGGTTTAAAACTAATTCAGCCTGACCTTGTTTTTTAAAAGGGCCTGTCCTGGCCTGTTGAGCAAGATTGTACATCTGCTTTAACATTTACAATGTCCCAACCACAAGAATTATGCCTTTAAAGGTAGGGATGTAACTTCCGCCCATGTCAGCATTTCTTTAAGGATAAACATGCCTTCCTGGAAATTAAGGATTAATTACCAGCCTTCTGTGCTTACCTTGTGACCACTGACCTGCTGCCCACTGATCTGCTGTGCCAGCTAAGCATCTTGTGACAGTTGTACAAGGGACATTCCAATCAGATGTGATGTATGCGCCTTGTTCCAAGACCATATGTAACCACTCTGTACACCCCACTTCTTTGGTGCCCTTCCTTCCTTGGAGAAGGAAGGCCCCAGGCTAGTCCTCAGGTTTGGCTCATAATAAACTCACCCCGATTTTGATTCATAGATTGATTATGGATTATTTGTGTCAACAATATCAAGTTAGTAATGATTTAAAACCTGGTTGTACACGTTGCTGCAGGCAGTACACTGAAGTAGATGGTCTCATGTTTTTCTGATGGCATTGTGAATTGTTTTAACCTTTTGAAAAGCATAAATACATATTGCTCAAGTTTTCAAAAGCCATCTGAGTTCTTACACTTTGCCATAGTATTTCCATTTCTTGAATTTTTTTCTTCATGAAAGAGTCTCAAGTTTGGAAGGAAAAAAAAAGGCTTTTCAGAGAAAGATATGAATTATATCAAATAATTCAAAACAATCTTAATACCTATGAAGAGAAAAATTACTAAAAAAGTTGATAGCCACAAATTTGAACACTTTTAAGCATTAAAATTGATGATTATAAAGAAAATATAGTATCTACAATAAAATGTGAAGTAAACAAAAAGGATATAAAATTGTAAATATAGTTTGATTACATTTTATTGAACATAGAATAGAGAAAAACTTACAATAAACCAGTTAGCATAATAATTAGGTTATCCTGAGGTGAATATGGAGATTTCTTTTCTTACACGTTACAATCCTTTCCAAACTTTTTAAGTGGGTAAAAAAATTCAACAGCAATAAATAAATTTTAAGGAGATCCCAAACACCATATAATCTATGAAGCTGATTTTCTATCCTTAAAAAAATGATGTTTCCTCCCTCTGGCAAACTGCCTCATGGCTTGGTGTGGTTTTCTAGGACACTGGGCTTTCACTTCCTTGAGTCTTTCTGTATTTGTCATATCCTCTCTAAATGATAGTTAAGGTACAGTTTGTGTCTCTAAATTACGTTTTCAAATCCCAAAACACCTAGAACAGCACATTGCACATGATAATGGTAAATTCTAGCTAACATAAATTAAACTGGATGTTGAATTTCTCAACCAAAACTTTGAAATCTGAGGAAGAGATACTTTTTTTAAAAAATTTTTTATTTTTCCTTCTTCTCCCCAAATCCCCCAGTACATAGTTGTGTATTTTAGTTGTGGGTCCTTCTAGTTGTGGCATGTGGGACGCTGCCTCAACATGGCCTAATGAGCGGTGCCATGTCCACGCGCAGGATCCAAACCCTGGGCCACCGAAGCAGAGCTCGTGGACTTAACCACTTGACCATGGGGCCGGCCCCCTGTGCTGAATTTTTAATTTGCTGAGTAGTGTACATGTTTTCATGAAGTGACAACTGTATTCATTTCCTTTTTTAGCCCAATGTTATTGAGAATTATGAATGATCAACTGATGTTTCTGGAACGAGCATTTATTGATCCTCTAGGATTACCAGACAGGCCTTTCTATAGGTAAGGAAAAAATAGGACTCTTTATTATAATATCATTTTTTTAAATTTTTTGTACTGTGGAAAAAATATACTTGGGTTTTAGCAAGCAGATAGAAAATTTCAAAATATACGTAGTAAATGATAAATATATTATTTCTTCCTATAATGTAATATGACTGCTGCCTATCTTTCTTTTTAGTATCTTTTTTTAATTTCTGATTATAAGAGAATACATGTTCCTTGTAGGAAATTTAGAAGAGCCAGGAAGTCACAAGTAGAAAATAAAAATCTTCCCCAATTCTATCAGTCAGATATAAAATCACGTTTATATTTTGGTATATATAATTTTAGCCCCTCTTTCATGTTAAATATATTGGTGTTTATGTATATACATAAGACATAATAAATATATGTATATTAAATACAATATGTATAATATATAATAATATTTATTTACTCATTCCACTACTGTTAACATTTAGGTTTTCTTCTAATTTTTGACAATTGTAATTATTTCTGATAAACACCAGCTGTTCCCAGGTTGAGCTTACTAAGAACTGCAGAATGAAATAGATCATTGACCAGCCAGCAGTGGCTCCATCTTTCTATTTGGAGATTATCAAAGGATGGGAATTGGGAGTGAGGGCATCATCCAAACCGTGACTGATTTGCTAATGGCAGCATGACTGTCCTCTTTCTTTATCTCTTTACTTTGCACCTGTCCTTTCCTTCCAGGGCTATTACATGAACAGGTTTAGAACCTTCAATAAAACAGCACCTTCTGCCTGGGGCATGCTGAACATCACAAAATTGTTTTTAATGATTCTTTATGCTTTAAGTTAGGCATTCTAACATGACTTCTTTTGTTTTTTTTTGCTGAGGGGGATTCGCCCTGAGCTAACATCTGTGCCAATCTTCCTCCATTTTGTACGTGGGTCCTGGCCACTGACAAGTGGTGTAGGTCCTTATGGGGAACTGAACCCAGGCCACCAAAGTGGAACACATCAAACTTAACCATTAGGCCACGAGGCCAGTCCCATGACTTCTTTTTTAAATAGGAGAAAAAACACAATAGTAGGTTGGCTGGTGACAAACAGGACTTTAATAGTCACAGTTGTGCTGCATCCCCAGGGATAGTGGTATATTGAAAAGTCAGCACTTCTTCGCCATGTGCATTCAGACTGATCACTGAATCTCCCAGGCCTCTATTCCCTCCTCCTTGAAATGCTAATATCAACTGTGTAGAGTTTACTTTTAAGGATTAGAAAATTTACACTTGCATTCTTTAATACCAAGCATGATCCCTAGTGGCGACAAGTTGTTGTGGCTATTGTTATTTTTGTTGCTCTGAATCACTTTAAGTCATCCGTTTAAAGTCAAAATATAATCACTTGACACATATTTCATAGAGTAGTTTTTGAAGATGATTGAACTTGGGAGTTTAGTTGACAAGTGGCTTATTCAAATCATAAAATTAGACTTATGCAATCCAAGAATTGTAGAGTGCTCCTGTTTTTCTTTTGTATATATCATTTGGGCAACTAGTAGACAGCAAACTATCTTTATCAACAGGCATATCATCTATGCTCCAAGCAGCCACAACAAGTATGCAGGGGAGTCATTCCCAGGGATCTATGATGCTCTGTTTGATATTGAAAGCAAAGTGGATCCTTCCAAGGCCTGGGAAGAAGTGAAGAGACAGATTTCGATTGCAGCCTTCACCGTGCAGGCTGCAGCAGGGACTCTGAGAGAAGTAGCCTAACAGAGTTCTTCCAAGACCTTGTATTGAATTGGTGTCGTATATCACTCAGAAAGAATCGTGATGGATGTATTGATAAGCTAAAAAATAAAGTTGTATGTATGTATATGTATATCTTAGCATTCTTTTTTCTTCTTATGAATCAAAAAAGACAGACGGATGATTTTTATTCTCTTATTATAGAAGCTTATTCTGAAGTTAAACTCAGTGTTAAAATTAAGGAGACCAGCCTAATATTTTAAAATTCTTATGTGGCATTGTAAGAGAATCAAGTCTAATTCAGCACTTCCAAACCTACTCCTGTCATGCACACATGAAAACGTTAGTTTGTTATAGAACACACGGGAAAACGCACAGGGCCGCTCCTAACTAGAGGCCTTAGGCCCTACCTAGCGACCCAGGGCTGACAGGATCACTATCTTAGCACACTAGTTGGCCAATTCTGGTCTAATCACACTGCAAGTAAATGTAGTCACTCTCTACCATAAGAAATAATTACTCTTTTAAAAATTAGCAAATAATTCATTTATACCAAAAGATATATATAACATATATGTACAGTGAAAAATATAGTTCTACCTAGACTTATATTGGGATTATGTTCTGATAATTCCATCGTAAATTGAAAATATCGTTGAGTGAAAAATGCATTTAATACACCTAAGCTACCGAACATTTTAGCTTAGCCTTGCCTACCTGAAATATGCTCAGAACACTTACATTAGCCTACAGTTGGGCAAAATCATCTAACACAAAGCCTGTTAATGAAGTGTTGAATATCTCATGTAATTTATTGAATACTGTACTGAAAGTGACAAACAGAATGATTGGGAGTGTATCAGTCGTTTACCCTTGTGAGCTGTGGCTGACTGGGCTCACTGCCACTGTCCAGCATCACGAGAGAGTATCGGACCACAGATCACTAGGCTGGGAAAAGATCAAAATTCAAAATTTGAAATATAGTTTCTATTGGATCCATATTGCTTTCACACCATCATAAAGTTGAAAAATTGTAAGTTGAATTATCGTAAGTCGGGGACCATCTGTAATAAAGAAATGAACATTTGTAACCCTCCCCCAATAACCAGATTAATAAAGGATCTTTACCGGTATCTTTGGGTCCCCCATGTAATGCTGACCATGTGTCTTCCTCTTCTTCCAGAAATCCTCACTGTCTTGAATTTTATGGTAATTTTTTCTGTTATTTATAATTTTACCACCCATGGCTTATCCCTGAAGTGTTTTTGGCTTTGTGTATTTTTCGAAATTTTTATAAATAAAATTATACCATGTGTATTTTTCTAGGACTTGATTTTTCCACTCCCCTTTGAAGGTCTGTCTGTGTATCATTAAAATCTAATTTATGTTGAATACAAAAATATATTTGTTTTAATCAAATAAATATAAAATATTTATAATGTAATCAAATAATTTCAATTCAATTCAATTTCTGTTCAACCCAAAATATATTTAAATGCCAAAATAAATTCCAGATGAAATGAAGAGTGGAATATGAAGAATACAACCATAAAATCAGAAGGCAATGAGGGTGCGGTTTAATAAGTCCAGATAAATTAGGACCTACTAAACCTAAAAATTAGAAAAATCACAAAGTAAATGATCTACAAACAAAATGAAAACAGTGTACTGGAAAAAATATTTGCAATGAATACAACAAAGTGTTTTCATAACTAACTTAAAGGTTCTTTTAAATGAATAAGTTGAAAATTAATAATTGATCTCCACCTACCTCACTTATGTGTGTGTGTGTGTTCAGGTTAGGGGGAAAAAAAACAAAAGCAATAAGGACAAGGACACAAAAACGAAAACAAGCCACAAAGTACATTACGAAAATTCCTACTGTTAAAACCTTTACCCTTCTTGAAGTTCAGCCGCAGTCTTAAGATAAAAATAAATCTATTGCTCAGGAAAAGCACAAAAACAGAGCAATATAGTGGCAAGTTTAGATGCAGAGGTGAAAAGATTGTTAAATGAGAGTAAATTATGAGGATGTGAGGAGCAGATCACAGAGAAAAGTTAATCTCTATAACGTATGGAGCCAGAGTTGAAAGGACCCCTATGCTAAGTAGATGCCTCTCAGTCTGACTCATCAGTTTTGAATGGTTCTTGGTGGTTCTTGCGTTTCATAGTTATAGGAGGGTTATACAGTGCTTTTGAGAAGTTCGTTAGCCCCCTACAAACTTTAGACCTATAAATTCATTGTGCTTGGTGATTTGGGATTTTTTTCTAAGTCACCATGATTAATTTGTGCTTTAGAATACTGACCTAGTGATACGAAGCCTTTTTACGGTTTCGTACCCATAACTCAGTCCATCGTCTTTCAAACTCTTCTTTGTTTTGTGAAATATTTTTAACTTTAAAAAAGTTCACAAACAGAAAAAGCAGTTCTTTATAATAAAACATATACAAACCAAGTGTTTATAAACTTCTCAATCTAAAGCACAATTTTCTGACAGAATTCAGTTTTTTGTTTACATCAGAAAATATTTTTCATTGCCTTATAAGAAAAAGTTCTCCACTTAAAAAAATACTCATGATCAGTGACAAATAAAAACGGCAAGCAATAGGATATATTGGAGAATATGAGGAAGCCATTTGGTATAAACCTAATTCAGCCTGACCTTGTCTTTCCAAAAGGGCCTGACCATGGCCCTTGAGCATGCATTGTATATCTGCTTTAGAGATTCCCTATGGCAAGAGCAAAGTCCCTTGAGATAAAGGTGCAACTTCCCTCCCCCTCCCAACGTTGGCGTCTCCTTAAGGATTAAGCATCTTTCCTTAGGCTAGAAACTGATTGCTGCGCTCACCTGTGACCACCCAGCTCGAGACAATAGACTTGCCTCCTGCTACACCCACCAAGATAGCAGACCCACTGCGTGCTGTGTCCATCAAGTGGTGTGCAGACAGGGCAATCTTGTGACTATTGTGGGAAGGACATTTCAATCATATGTGAAACACCTTGTTTGGGGGTATATAACCACTCTGTGTACCCCACTTCTTCAGTGCCCTTTCTTCCTTCAGGAAGAAAGGCCCCGGGCCATGGTCCTCAGGCTCAGAATAAACTAACCCAAATTTTCATTTAAAGATTGGTTATGGATTATTTTCATCAACAATCAGCATAGAGTATTCAGGTGGAACACAGAGGATTTTTAGGGCAGTGAAACTACTCTGTATGGTACTAATCTGTATGATTATAATGATAAATACATTTCATTATAAATTTATCCAAATGCACAGAATGTACAACACCAAGAGTAAACTCTAAGGTAAACTATGGACTCTGGGTGATTATGTGTCATTGTAGGTTCAACAATTATAACAAATATACCTCTCTGGTTGGGAAGTAGATACAGGGGTAGGCTACGCATGCATGGGGACAGGGGTATGCTGGAAATCTCTGTAACTTCCCCTTAATTTTGCTGTGAACATCAAACTGCTCTAAAAAGTAAAGTGTATTTTAAAAAACACTCATGCAAAATGTCCTATTGTAGTTAATATATTTAAGGTTTAGAATGAAGGGTCATTGAAAGGAAAACATGAAGTCACCTTGTGTGGGCTAACCTCAGATAACGGCCTTAGACAAACTGATCTAATTAACTATGGCCAGCAGGTAGTCACAGGTGGTTCCTTAAACAGATTAGGCAATTATGTAAATCCAATCTAAATGATTTGAACTTGTGTTTACAGCTATGCTAATCTAATCTTCTGTTAAGAGTGTAGTACAGTATCTTAAGAAAAGTGTCTGGTCTTGGAAATTCTACAAAAGAGCTGAAGAGTAAAACACAGTCCTCCACGTTATCCAGAAAATAAAGACCCTCACTGGTGGTCATTAGGATGCCAGTTTACAGCCGTCAGTGAGTCCTGTCTTATAGAGCAATTAGCCTGGCTAACTTCGACAACTTTTCCACTAAAAGTATCATCATGATGATGTGGGCTTGGTGAGTCAAGGAGTTGAAAGAAAGATTTCTTGGACTCTCAAGATCTAGCAGTAGTGCTCTTTTATTCAGAGAATAGCATGGGGACAGGACCCATGGGCAGTAAAGAGCTGCAGGCATGGGTTAAGGGTAGGGATGAATTTATTTATTTATTTATTTATTTATTTATTTCTTGAGGAAGATTAGCCCTGAGCTAACTGCTGCCAATCCTCCTCATTTTGCTGAGGAAAACTGGCCCTACCCTTACACTGTATCATATTAACATAAATACATACATTGATATATATTTTATATGTGTACACATTTATATATAAAGTATTTGGTTTAAAATTATTCCCCAAGATATATGAGTCTAAAAAACAGACTTTATTTTTACATAAAGAAGACATTACAAAAGTCATAAAATATTGAAGGCAAGAAAAAAACTAGCATTGGTTATTTCACCATTTGTTATATATACAATTGTTTAAAAACACAATTGAGTGTCTAGGTGCACATTTTTTAGTGAGAAAGTTACACGGTGCAGATTCATTGGGTATTCCATTTAATGTTTTATTTTTGGACATTACCAGATAAACAATGGCTAGAGACTTAATTAGCAATTATAAATTTAAAAAGTAGAATAAGAAATTTTAAAAATTGTTAGATTAATGCTTGTAGAATGAAAAACATTTAAAAAACTAATTGCTTCAGGGGCCGGCCCAATGGCACAGCAGTTAAGTTTGCATGTTTGGCTTCTCAGCAGCCGGGGTTCACCAGTTCGGATCCTGGGTGCGGACATGTCACCACTTGGCAAGCCGTGCTGTGGTAGGCGTCCCACGTATAAAGAAGAGGAAGATGGGCATGGATGCTAGCTCAGGGCCAGTCTTCCTCAACAAAAAGAGGAGGATTGGCAGTAGTTAGCTCAGGGCTAATCTTCCTCAAAAAACAAAAACAAACAAACAAACAAATAGTAATTGCTTCAGTTAAAATGTCTTCTTGATTAACTTGTGCAAGGTCTACTTTCCTGCATCTTACCCCAAAACAAGTCTAAGTTCTGTCAGAGTGTGACCCCCAAGTGTTTTCTATACGCTATAAACCTAATCAGCCATTTTTATACCTTTCTGTGTAACCCAATCAGCCATTTCCTGTTCCTTTTGGAGATAGTAGCCAATCGCAAGAAGGAGGTGTGGCCTTAGGTGAGTCTAACCATTTAAAAAAGCTCATTTGTCCAGGGACTACTTCTTCTCCAGGGTAGACTGAATTTGTAGCTGCCAGGCTTCAGAGGGCACAGAATTCCCACTGACTCTGAGATCCACAGATCTTCCAGTCCTTCCAGAGGTGTGACCACTCATAGGAGACTCCAGTGAGTATGGAATTATAGCAAATGTCTTCATGCCTACCTTCTCTTATACACTTTACCCCTTGGCCTGCTTGGGCCTCATCCAAGCAAACGAGTAGCTTTCCTGGTAATTTAAAATGACATCAATATTTAAAATATCTGTAACTAGAATATTTGTAATATATTGATATTTATTACATTAAGTCATTTGATTATTATTATTCTGTCACCTTATGTGTAACTAGGTCTTTTAGGTCTTAAAAGAGATTTCTGCAGTTTTATGCAATTGTGGAACCAAGACAGCACCTAAAATGTTCAACATAATGTATTCATGTGATAGTCTCTATACACATCAACAAAGAAGTTAAATGTGTTAATTAATTAGAAAAACCTTGTTGTAAAGATCCTATTTGCTATCTCTTTAAAAAAGCCTTCAGTCTGCAGGTCAGATTTGAAAAGTGTTCAAAATAGATCCAACCAACTGGTAAAGATGCCCAAGAATGGCATTGGTCATCATGGGGAAATATCAGAAGTAAAGATGAATCAGTTATGCTCCCATTAACTGCATCCTTTGCTTTTCTAGTGTAGACAGGAAATCCCAGTGTATATTCTCATTTTTTTTGTTTTAATAAACAACTGATTAATTGTTGCTAATTATCACCGTAGCTTGAGCATTCACTAGCTCAAAGTGTGAAGCTGTTCTCATGGTCTGAACTGTCTCTGGAAAAAATCATTTTCCTGAACTAGAAATAACAAAAAATTTTTACATTTTATTTCATGAAAGCAGGAGTTTTGTTATTAACCATAGAAGCAGAAATTCAACTGTTTAAAGTTGCAGGAGTTCAAAGTTGAAGCCAATACTGATTAAGTTAAACAAGCTTAGATTAAACCTAATCAATTTTATTTGTCTTTAGAATTAAGTACTTCTGTCAGTTTGGAGTCAGGATGCCTAGACCGTTACCATAGAGACCAAGTATATGCATGTGTGTGTTACAGGCATGGAGTCACGGAGAGAGAGAGAGATTGAGATTCTGTATGGGCTTCTGGACCAATCAGCTAATAAAAGAATAAAAAGAAACTCTAGAATTGTCTTAACTTTTAACCTCTGCTCCAGCCTTTAAGCTTGTCCAAGTGATTTAGATATGATTGACAAAATTGTTTATTTTAAACAAAAAGGATGGCGATGAATCTCTTGTCTCATTTTCTCCTACCTTTGTACCGTAGCATAAACCCAACCTGTCTATATTCACCATGTCTAGGTTTGTACCCGGGGTAAGTGAACAAGGAGACTAGCTGGGGTTCAAGCAGACAAGACTTTGTCCAAAGGTGCTTTTTTCTTTTCCTCTTTAGGGCAGAAGAATGACTTTCTCTCTCTTCTTTTTTAATTAATTTAATTTTCAATTTTTAGAAACATGGATTCAGACACCTTGCAAGCCTTCCAGAATGAACTCATCTGCTCCATCTGTTTGACCTACTTCGTAGACCCCGTCACCATAGACTGTGGGCACAGCTTTTGCAGTCCCTGCTTGTGCCTCTGCTGGGAGGAAGCCCAAACTCCACTGTGCTGCCCTGAGTGCAGGGGAATATCAGAGAAGCCAGAGTTCAGAACCAATATTGTACTCAAGAGGCTGGCTTCCCTTGCCAGACAGGCCCAAGCTGCCCACGTCAACAGCTCTGAGGAGCAGATATGTGTGGCGCACAGAGAAGCAAAGGGGCTCTTCTGTGAGGTTGACAAGAACCTGCTCTGTGGGTCGTGCTCTGAAGCCCCAGAGCATGAGGCTCACAGCCACAGTCCAGTACAATGGGCTGCTGAGGAATACAGGGTAGGTGATGCCTCTAAAGTAATTTGAAATCTAGAGGCTTCTAAATTAGAGAGAAAGATGAGGATGATGATAATGAAATTGATGCCAATGGAGATGGTGGAGGTGGTGATTTTTCAATGTAAATCCCAAGACATAAGTGTATCCTTTCAATGTTGTTTACCAGTTTTGACACTATAATGATAGCTGTGCTGAGCCTTTACCAAGGGAGTTTCCGTAGGAACATTGTCGAAATGTGTGGAATTGGTGCAATTGTGAGGCAAGCGGCTAGCACCAGGAACATTGGCTTCTGATGCAAGCTTGACACCTTCAGTCAGGTTATGTAAAAGTCTGAATGCCAATTTCTCAGGAAGTGGAATATATTATGTGTAGTGTAACACCAACTCTCTATTATATGTTTCTGTTACCTCTGATATGCCAAATATTAGAATCAAATTAGATTAAGGTGAAAAAACCTGACCATCCCATTCTAACTCAAGATTGTTGTTTTGTCAGCTGCTACCTTTTTCTGTAAATAAAGAGATGAAGTGTTCAATGTCATCATCTATGTTGCTAAAGCTCACGGTTATTTTGCAGGAGAAACTTCTAAAGAGAATGGGCTCTTTATGGAAAATGACTCAAGAAATACAAAACAATCTGAATCAAGAAGCTAGCAAAACCCAGATATTAGAGGTAAGAATGAAAATGTTGTGTTTTCATGCCGATTGACACAATGGTGGCTTAGACTTTTAGCTAAGTTCAAGTTACCAGTTAAAGGATAGTGGTTTCTTCCCAGGAAAAAATAGTGATTTTAAATGATATGTCAGTAATCACAAATATACCGGTCAATACAAGCTGGTACAAAGAATGCTAATATATCAGCTATCCAGGGTATGAAAGTCTTAATCCAACTTTGAAGGTTTGGATAAACCTTCTCAGATACTGAGTGTGAGACAACACTGCACTAAGTTTGGCTGTGAAGGAGAGGAGAGGAATAGAGTGTACCTAGAGGAAAGATAGAAAACTTAAAAAAATTTGTATAATATGGTGTACACCTAAATATTTTTAAATATGTAGAAAAATCAGGCAAAGGAGCAAGAGAGAAAGAAGATTCAGGTAAGAGAGGAAATAGTTGATGGAGCATGACAAGGAGAGAGTCTGAGACCCTTTAGAGGGCTTGATTTAAACAGGCAAAGAGGTTGGGTACATAGAGAAAGGACGGGCAGAAAGGACTAGCAGATATTCAAGAAGCTTTGAGGTGTGAGGCAGAAAGTTTACCAAGTACTTTCCTGATGATGCTAAGGAAATAATATTTGAAGTTTGAAGATTTCTGTTGAGAGTGTGGATATGTAATCTTTTTAATCCGCTATCTCTGCAGGTCTATGTAGCCTTAAGGAAAGTGATGATCAAAGTTCAATATCATAAGATGCATCTATTTCTCCATGAGGAGGAGCAGCTCCATCTGGACACACTGGAGAAAGAAGCAGAGGAGATTTTCCAGCAACTCAAGGAAAGTGAACTCAGAATAACCCAAGAGAAAGAACGCCTGAAAGAAATGTACAGAGACCTGACTGAGACGTGCCACAAGCCTAACGTGGAGCTGCTCCAGGTGAGAAGGAAGGATCCATCCTCAGAGACAGGAATCCTTTTCTGGACAATGTTGCCGTGACATTGAAATGTTACCTGCATACACCATTCCCCTCAGCTAAGTGATAATGCTCCTTGACTCCTATCATTACGTTTGTCCAATCACTTATTTCCTCATATGTTGGTAATCTCTGGGAGACTTTTACTTTTTGGCAGCTAGCATAGGACAAAATTATTTCAGTATAATCAGGAGTACAATCCACACAGACAGATTATCCCAAATCAGCAAAACTCTGTGACCAGAGGAAGGTTAACTTTGTTGGGGTAATTCTCAATTTGTGTTCTCCTCATCCATTGCCATTCTGAGTTATCTCAAACAAAATCAACTTGCTGAAGATGCTGAGGTTTTGCACCTTGCCCAGGCAAACTTTGTAGAATCTGGTAATCAATTTGCATGTACGCTATAGTTATTTTTTCATACAGTTCTCTGTTTTGCTTTAATTGTTATCATAAATGGTCAGATCTCTCCTTGGGAATAAGACTGGGCAATGAGTGACATTGGAAGCCTAGATCTTGTTGCATCGCTACACAGCCTCTTCCTGCTCTCCTTTCTTCCTTGATGCATTCTGTTTTAGTTTAGGTTCTGTTATTAAGATAGCCTCTGATTGTTCCTTAGAGGGGAATAAGAAAAAGGATATTATTAAAAAACAAACAAGAATACTGGAGAAGATGCAAAAGTTCAGAACTATCACAATTAATATTATCTTTATGTTTTTTCCTTGCAGGACGTAGGAAATGTACTGGAAAGGTGAGTTTACAGTAATGATTTCTGATTTCTGAGAAAGTTGTTCTCTTGTTGGTGAAGTGAACGTATGTTTTGAGATATTAACATCATCATCCTCTGTGGCTATTTTCAATTTTGTTTCAAAAGAGGCCCCAAGGCCTTCTCATCTTTGGTCTCAGAAGCTTCCTTCTTATGTGGCTGAATTCAAATATACCATCTGACATTCTGGGTTTTGTTTCACCCACTCCCTCCTGTCCCCTCTAGTCTCACCACAAATAAACCTTACTGAAGGGGTTTTTCTAAGGTATCACAGAGGAGGCATCTACCTGGAGAGTTATAAGGTGTAAAAGATGAGAAAGAGGGAGATTCATTAAAAATGGGAAAAGTGAGATGTGATTTTGTTCCCAGGAGTAGCCATAACGCAGCCTGTTCCATCATGGCATGCCCCAACTCTAGGCAGGACCTCAGAAGGAATGGCTTCCTGGTGACTGCTGGGAAGTTAGACCCCCAGGAGCAGGGCTGCCAGGCTAGAATTGAATTCTCTTGCTTGGCAGAAAAGAGCAAAGCTATCTGGCTCAGTGGACTCTTCCTTTTTAGACACTGAGTGTATCATTAGTGACTGTTGCGGACTAAGTCCCAAAGGTTTTGCCTGAATTTTCTGCTCTCTCTAAGATACCAAGGATCTTTGCATTACCTGAAGTGGAGTAGAGGGAGGGAATGATCCTTAATAATTTTAGCGATGGAATAATATTTGAGAAGAATGGGAAGTTGGAATTTGATATGATTTAAATTCAGGAAAAAAGTAAGGTAACATTTCTTATATCCCCAAGACTGTCGAATATAATGTATACCCAATTAACCAAAAATGGGAGAATTCTGATCAAATACCTTGAATTAAAAACCGCCTCTTTTGTAACGGTTGTGTGATTAATCTTTGGCCTGGAAGTGTAACTGATGCCATTCTTTGTAGGACTGAATTGGCGCAGATGCAAAAGCCTCAACCCGTGAACCCAGAACTCACTTCATTGCGCATCACTGGAATCCTGGACATGCTGAACAGCTTCAGAGGTGAGAGTCAGCCCTGTGGCAATCAGGCCTCAATTTCTTAAGTGGTTCTTGAGAATCAGACTTCTTCCACTTTAATCTTTTTTTTCTGACATGAAAGTAGTACATGACTTTCCATTTTTCTCCCTGTAGAGTCATATTAGAATGATCAAGACTGAACTTCGCCACTTAGAGTTTACTGAAAATGCAAAGTAAGATACATATTTTTAGTTACATCTGACTCAGGCAGAGCAAGAGAAGAGCAATCAGGTTGGTCTGGTGCTTATGAAGAGACAGAATCTTTAGTTGTCAGAGCAGTAATCAATATTGTATGTTTATTCAGTTTACTCCACTTTTGAAAGTTTATTACAAGTACGTTTAGAATATTTATTTTAAAAAATCAGAAAGTTTTGACAAAAAAGACCAAAATTGTCATAAGCAGAATAATTTTAAGGCTATTAGATCAATCTCAAAACAACTGAAAGGCAAGGATTTGTGAACATGGCCCAATCACATTAGGCCCATACTGGAGAGCGAGTCTAGACAGGAAAGGGCTGAAACTGGGATTAGACTGAATCTGGGATCTGAACAGATAATATAAAGCCGGAACAGTCTTTTAAGAAACTTCTAAACTATGCATATGAGGATTTCCATCAAATTTTTTGACATTTGAAAATGTAACAGGTACAGCTTATAAGCCAATAAATACGCACATAATAGCCAAGTGCTGTCTATTTATTAAATCGTATTGAAGACAAACAACATGAGAAAAGTCTTCTACATTAAAGAAAAGTTTTAGGCAGGTCTTGAAATAAACTATCCAGAGATTGACATGAAATCACTGCTTTAAACAGTTCATGATATGTTTGGATTTTCTTTTCTTTTTCTGTATGATTTGAAGGAATTTTGTGTGCTGTTGGGGTTAGTAATAACCCTTGCACTTCAGAGATGAGGTAGTATGAACTCTTTTTAACTTTATTGGAGGAGGGGCAAATAAAGACTCATTGTGTAGAGAGCCTCTGCCCCTCTGGACAAGGAAATCCCATTCGCTCACCTGATTTTTGCCTCTTTCTGTAGTGGACAACGTTCTGAATCAGGAAACGACCAGTCACTATATGAGCCTTTCTGAGGATGCGATTTTTGGAGACGACCATCATGGCGGGTCCAGAGAGCCCCAGAGGGCGGAGAGTTTTGCGGCATGGGGAGCTCAGGCCTTCACCTCTGGGAGGCATTACTGGGAGGTGGATGTGACACACTCCTCAAGTTGGATTCTGGGAGTCTGTAAAGATTCCTTGACAAGCAATAGCAATATTATTGACGCTGAGGAAACATTTCTTCTATTTTCTTTCAAGATGAACAATCATTACGGTCTCTCCACCAACTCACCGCTGTTAATTCAGTATGTGAAAAGGCCTCTGGGTAGGATTGGAGTGTTTCTGGATTATGACAATGGCACTGTGAGTTTCTATGATGTTTGCAATGGTTCCCTCATATATAGCTTCCTCCCTTCCTCCTTCTCTTCCCCTCTGAAGCCTTTCCTTTGCTTTGGTTCCCACTAAGTCAGATTTCACAACCGTTTATCTGATGAACTTGTATGTGTGAGGAAACTCCTGTCCTGAAACCTTTTCACATGAGGCAACCAGACCGTTTTGGAGTACATTGTAACTTAAGGGAACATAATTATTGTATGTTTATGAAATGACATAACCATGTTGAATGTATAAATTTGTTTACTAAACTTTCTTTTAATAAAAATTGTTTATTATGGAGCATTTCCTAGAATATAATGAATGGCTTTTTCTTCTTTTTTTAGTAACAATTTTATTAAGAAAGAAGGTACATACCATAAAAGTCACCTCTTTAAAGTATATAATTTGGTGGTTTTTAGTAAGATCCAAAGAGTTGTGCATATCATAACAATTGAATTCCAGTATACTTCCATTACCCCCCCCCAGGAAACCAATACCCATTAACATTTACTCCCCATTCACGCTCCCCATCCCTAACTCTTAATCTTTCAGTCTTTATGGCTTTATCTTAGTTATTATTATATACATTTCATATAAATGGAATCACACAATGTGTGGGTTTTTGTGTCTGTTTTTTTTTTCACTTAGCATAATGTTCACTCACATTGTAAGCAATGCATTTGACTTGCATATTTGACCCAGACTGGGGGTAGAATAAAGTGGTGTATATCTCAGCTTAGTTAAATGACAGAAATGGTGCTTAGCTTTCTTTTCAAGTCTGACCTAGGTGAGTAGATCCAAGTGTCTGACAGATTTATCATTTCTCTGAACCCTAGTCATTCATCACATCTCAGCCCAAACAATAGGTTTTCATGGAACTCTTCCCTGACTCCACAGACCAGGTTACTTCCTCTGATTACACATTCTCTGTATGTATTGTACTATCTCATCATAATATTCAACAAACTTTCATGAAATTGGTAGATACTTATTACTACTAGACTGAAAATTCTAAGAGAGTAAGGACTGTATTTGTCTTATTTACTACTATATTCCCACTCTCCGATGCAGTCCTTAGAACAAAATAGACAATAAATATAAAGTGAATGAATGAATAAATAAATGAAAGAGTTAATATAAACAATTATTCCAGCATTGATAAAGTTTCCCCAAATGCACCTAACATAACAAGACAGAAAATATTAATGGATGATGTCAACAAAAGACAAGAAATAGATTGATTTCCAGATTCACAGCCTAAGAAAATTTCATCACTTTGACATTTAAAATAACTATAGTATAATTTTATTTTATAGTGTTGATTTTGAGATTTCCCTAGAAAGGGAAAGATGGAAGATGAAAATCCTACATCAAGTGATAGGAAAACGGGAAACAAGACTTCAAGTGATGGAGAGTATCAGAATTTAAACTGATATATATATTAAATTACTTACTAAGCATAAAAGCGTATCAACTTCCTTATGCAGTGGAAAGAACAAAATCAATTTAAATTTGAAAGAATAATTCAGATGATAGAGAATACAGAATTCTATAATACAATGCGATACTTATGTTTCCTAAAAAATTCTTTTTTTTTTTAATTTTTATTTTTTTCGGATGTACATCATATTTCAAATTCTGGATACATTACATCACATCATGTTCGCCACCCGAACACTAATTATAGTGCATCCCCTCACATGTGACCCTATCACCCCTTTTGCCCTCCCCCTTCCCCCCTTCTCCAATGGTAACCACCAGTCCAATCTCCAATGCTACGTGTTTTTTTGTTTTTGTTTTTGTTTTCGTTTCTGTCTTCTACTTATGAGTGAGATTATATGGTATTTTAAAAAAATTCTTAAGAAATAAAAACTACTTTGGGATATAGTCATGGGATAAATGATGACTGAAATGTGAACAATTGCATAATCTGTAATGTGCTCAATTCCACGAAACTGGGGGTTCATTTCTCATGGGCACTTAGTGCAAGAGACAACCTCTCATGGAACCAGTTAGGGTACAAGCAAATCTGCTCTAACAAAGACCCCCAAATTTAAATGAGTTGGAAGATGTGTTCCTCTCATGTCTGTCCAAACATGGGAGGTGGTCAAGAGGAAAACTGACATATTGAACAACTGGCTTTTACCCATGTGTGTATGAAATTAAAATTTGTTGCCATGTCCCCTGCAGTAGGAAAGCTGAAAAAAATATCTGGGGCAAGGGGAACTGTCTTTCAGGAAATGACTTGGTGTTCTCTGCAGCAGTTCTCTTCCATTCTTATTGGTTCAAGCTTAGGCATATGGCACACTACGCTGAGATACATATCTTGGAATTCTGGATACACAGGAAAAGAAGATTTCTTTTTATTGTTTGGTTCAGAAAAAAAAACATGAAATGACTGGCACAATAGAAGAAACCCCAAGAAGGTGTAATCAATGAAAAATGAGACCCTTAACAAAAGAGATGCTGTTGCTCAAGGTTAGGACTAGGTCTCAGTATTCAAGAATGAGTAAACTCTGCTTTTCATCATTGTCATGGTGCCAAGTGTTTACCTGTTCAAGGCCTGGCTAACTGCTGGTTATGTGGCAAGGAGTATCTTAATTGTTTTTTAATCTCTTAAATGGATGACAAAGACAGAAAACATTCTCCAAATTTTCACAAGACTTATCAGAAATGTTCCATCATTCTTTCACTGTGTACCACACGGATTCTGTAGTTGACTTTCTCTCTTCCTCACGCATATTTCATGTTACACTTTATTAACTAAGACAGAACATTTATCACTGGCTTCTTTCTGACTTGCTGCCTCTTTCCAAGAGATCTCAGATGGAATAGTTTTATCCGCTGAGGCTTCAATCCAGTCCTCCTTTCCTATTTTTGCCTGTGGTTCCTGATCTTTTCTACTGATGTGAAAATTTTTCTAAGTAACAGCAAATATACCCTAAGTTCGATAATTTTATTTTTTCTTCTTTTTCAAAGAAAATTTTATAGCTAGCATTCTTATTAATTACCTTAGATTTACTTGTACATACAAGCAGAATTAGCTACTTTAAGGACTTTCAGTATTTGCCTTTGATTTTGGAAGATGGGGAGAGTTTGTGTGTTTATTTGGTAAATTTTCTCACCATTACATCAAGAGTATCTTGTTCTAATGATACTCCTGGAGATAGTTATTACATTCACTCTCTCCACCTTTCAGGTTTGATTACTTATATTAGAGTTAATATCATCTAGGACTTACTTGTAATTGCAATAAAATCAAGGTGGGTCTGTGAGGAACCTTCTCAATCATTACATTCAAAATCTGCTACTTCCCTGGTTCTCATCCTTAAAATAAGTTATTTACTCATTTACCTGGTCGCTTTTTTTTTTCAGTATTGCAAGAAGTTTTATTAGTTCATAGAATAAAAAGTAAAAATTGACATGAAAGACAACCTGGAAAGAAAATGATCTTACAAAATGGAGACACACAGCATTAACTAACATTTCCTGTATTTCTCTGCTGGTTTTAGGAGGCATGTGGGAAGGTCATTTTGTTCTTGGATTCAAGATTGGGACAGAGATCAGATTGTTTTTTGCTGAATTAAGAGAATTCTAATGAAACATTTCTGTTGGGAGACTTGGTTAAAAATTGTGATGTAGGGGCCTGCCCGGTGGCGCAGCGGTTAAGTGCGCACGTTCGGTTTCTTGGTAGCCCCCGGTTCGTCGGATGGGATCCCAGGTGCAGACATGGCACCGCTTGGCACATCATGCTGAGGTAGGAATCCCACATATAAAGTAGACGAAGATGGGCACGGATGTTAGCTCAGGGCCAGGCTTCCTCAGCAAAAAGAGGACGACTGGCAGTAGTTAGCTCAGGGCTAATCTTCCTCAAAAAAAAAAAAAAAAATGTGATGTAGCCTTTTTTCTTTAAAATTGTAATAGTGCAACTGTATCTTCCACAATTAACGGATGAGTTGGTGCTGCTGCTCATGCCCAGGCTGGATTCATTAGGCAGAGCTTGTTCTCTTGTTCCTATATTTCTGGAAAAGAGAAAGACAATTATGACTAGGATCTAAGAAGAACTTTTTATGGGGGGAGGTAATTCTGAACTTTCAGGTTATAATTCTTTACACTTGATTGCTTTTCCCTCCCAGTGGTAGATATCATTCTGGAACTAATTAGTCCAAACACTTAACATTACCTGAGATTTTAAGAAACATGAAGTTCATAGGAGCCATAAAACTTTGTGCTTTAAAATCTGTGGGGGCTCAAGGATTATGTTGTTTGGGAGCTCAGGTGTTCAACTGCAGCAGGCGTCATGGAGTGGAGCATGTGAGACTTAGCATTAGGTTGTAGTAGTCTGTTAACAGGTCTGGACAAGGAATCATGTCAGTCCAGATGGTTCTGAGGAAGGCTCTCTGCTTGCTATGTGAAGGAGGATAATCATTACAGACTCTAGACAAGCTCCTGACCGTCATTCGATCATATGCAAATGCCTCAGAAGAGGTTAAGAATGGTCCTGGGTTATGAATCCTCAGCTGTCTCTTTCTCCATACTGCTGAAGGTTCTCTCATAAATTACTTTCTTACCTATTTCTCTTCTGAAACAATCAGACTCTTCTTTTTCACTCATAAACCACATTGAAGGCCAAATTTAAGTCTCCTGGCAATGTTTCCAATAAACTTTTTCAGAACTAGCACAGAAAATGAACAGTTAACTCACGGGAACTCATATAGTGAGATAAAATATTTATTTAGCATTTTGTAATGCTTTCTGTAAGTTCTTTCTATAAGTGGTCCTACATATTGAACCTGTGATAATGGCATACAGCCTGATGTCTTTGTCTCCTCAGTAATGATAGTCTTGGCCATGGGATTGTAAATCTATAACCCTTTTACCAAAATTTCTTTCTTCTTGAGTATTGTAATGGACACTTCTAAAATTTGCCATTTTCTGTAGGTTTTGTAAAATACCCACCTTTGTAGACATGAGAAAAAAGTGTTTGGAAACACAATGGGCAAATAATAGTAGGTAGAAAGGAATATAATGCAAATCAATAGATAAATACTAATTCCTATTAAAAAAATACAGGCAAACTTGATGAGGGGATTCATAAGGGAATAATCCCAAGGTCGATCCACAATCACAGGAGTAATGGAAAATGCAATCGAAGGCACTTGCGGTGTTTCCATTTTCACCTGTTCATTGGCTAAATAAAAATATTTAAGTATTACATGTAAATAAAAACTGTTGATAATATCTAGGGTTAACTACAGTGTGAAATAAAGAGCATTCTCATACACTGTTGGTGATG